TTACCTAAAGTAAGGTACCTACCTAACAACTAAACAGTGCCAGCCCTATCGAAAAACTCTATTGTCCCCGTACGTAACCTGATTCACCCCAAAGCCAAGGTGAATCGGGTCAAGCTAGTTTTTTTCAGTTTTTGTGTATATTTTGTAATGGACTATGTATAATAACGCATCGTATATAAAAAATTAAGCCTCCGGAACCATTATGATCATTTGTTTTATTACATACTATAACTACAAAAAAAACGATAAAAATCAATGTCAAATTTAAAAAGTGTCCCGATTCCCCCCCATTTTACGGTATACAGGAGAATGTTTTAAAGGTCTAAGATATAATATTTTTAATATTAATCATCTTTGTAACATTTTTTTTTTACCAGTTACATTATCTGTCTTTTAAAATAAGACAAAATTATCTACTCATTTTGGGGAAACCAAAAAAAAAACTAAAACTAAACTACCCTCTTTTGACAGTATTTATGAGAAAAACACTGGTAATACCAAATGTTTACGCATATTAACTCAATTTCGAATATTTTTTTAAAATTGTACACTTTTAATGCGAAAAGGCGACATGTGAAATTAAAAAGAATCAAACAAAGATGGCGAGGCATTCTTAAAATCTAAAATGGCCGAATTAAAAAACTGTCCTTTTCGTATTTTTTTTTTATAAAGATCTTATCAGTTGCGGAAAATAGGAATACAATAAACAAAAAACGCTTCTTAAAATTTCGCGGCACTTATTTCTCGGCAAAACATCTGCCACTTGTATTCAACACTTTTTGTACAATCACTAGTACATACGATACTGTGAACATTTATCATGTGATCTCTGATTTCATTGTTACCAAAAACATTTACCACAATAAAAAAAAATTGCTAAGTATAGGACAGTGAATTGTGAATAACATAAAAATGTCGATTGATAGTCTAAACCACAAATCCTATGTTTATACCACGATTTCACTCAACAAGCAATTGAGTCGTCTATTATCAAAGGTGGCAATCTGTGCCTTTGGAAAAAAAAAATATTGATATGTCAATTCAGATTGATTTGAATATAATCGTCTCCTTCAAAGAATACGGTTCAAAATCTGCATTAAATAAAGGTTAATAGTTAACCTGTTATTTATCTAAGATGTCGTTCCGAAGAGTTTTGTGACTGCCAATGGAATACAAAGTCAATAATTCGTTTTTCTGATTTACCAATCATTGTCCAAAAGTCAGATTGCCGGCTTTGATAATAGTCNATTTGAATATAATCGTCTCCTTCAAAGAATACGGTTCAAAATCTGCATTAAATAAAGGTTAATAGTTAACCTGTTATTTATCTAAGATGTCGTTCCGAAGAGTTTTGTGACTGCCAATGGAATACAAAGTCAATAATTCGTTTTTCTGATTTACCAATCATTGTCCAAAAGTCAGATTGCCGGCTTTGATAATAGTCGACTCAATTATACCTTTAAACGAACAATTCTTGTATATTAATATATATGTATATAATCTGAATCTCGGAAACGGCTCCAACGATTTTCATAAAATTTAGTTAGTATACAGGGGATTTCGGGGGCGATAAATCGATCTAGCTACTATTTATTTTCAGAAAATGTTGTTTTATTCGTGTTTTCAATAATCAACTCTTCCCGATATCTATTGGCGAATAATAATACTATTTTTCTTAATTGAGGGCAACTAACCACTTTAAAGACTCAACAAGATGGCGTTATAAAAAAAAAACCGGTCATCATCTAGTATGTACTTATATTATGATTTGTTAACAAATATGTAAATAAAAAAAATCGAATGACCTTCACGAATTCCATGAAATGGCGCGCGAAATTCGTAACCTTTTTTTTATTTTATTTCAACGTCACGTATTTCGTAACGCAAACGTTTCACAGTCCGTACGGCCAGTCGATACGGTTGCAACTAGAGAGACTAATAGTGCGAACGCTTTCACTTGATTCGAAAGAAAAAAAACACAATCTAGACTCAAACAAAAACGTGATTACCGTTGCATTTCGTTTATAAATTAAATATTTTAATACGTAATTGAAAACTTTCCAAAATAATATTAACGATTATTGAAAATCACCTATTATCATGTTTTATTAACATTTAAGCAAAATTTTACGTAATACTTTTTGCCATATTCTTTAAAGGGAAATTGACTTAACTATTTGAGTATTCTATACATTTTTTTTATTTTTTCTCTTTATTGCTTAGATAGGTAGACGAGCTCACAGCCCACCTGGTGTTAAGTGGTTACTGGAGCCCATAGACATACACAACGTAAATGCCGCCACCCACCTTGAGATATGAGTTCCAGGGTCTCAAGTATAGTTACAACGGCTGCCCCACCCTTCAAACCGAAACACATTACTGCTTCACGGCAGAAATAGGCAGGGCGGTAGTGACAAAAAATGCACTTCGAATTGAGAACCCCCTCTTTTTCACGAAAGCAGTTATATTACAGAATATTGCTCGTGTGTCGCTGACCCTAAACTTCATTCACAAATTATTTCATCTGTTATTATTGAAATTTATAATATTTATCTCAGCTTCTATGCACAGTTTCTGTTGTTTTTTTTTTCTTTCTATTATTACGGTGTCGCGAACCAGGGATTATGGCTACACTTTTCTCACGACAAATAGTGTATGCAGGAAACTGCTTCCGATGTTGAATAATTGTAACTAGACATGCTTTAACAAAAACCGCCTTCAAATAGAAATAATAAATATTCAAAAATAAATTAATGCAATACACTAAAAACAATAATCATCGAAATCGGTTGGCGTGATATTGAGTTATTCATCTATTTGTCGCGCCGTACTTAATGCAAATTTAAGACTTACATGGTTTTCTCGTGGATACCGTTATCAGAACTGGACTAAATTGAAATGGGACCACACGGGAAGCGTCAGCTTTCTAATAAAAAAAGAATCAACAAAATCGATTTATCCAGTCAAAAGATATGAGGTAACAAACATAAAAAGATAAAAACATACAGTTGAATTGAGAAACTCCTCCTTTTTTGAAGTCGGTTAAAAAGTAGATCAAGCTTACCACGACAGTTCTAAAATAAAAAAATACATTCTATTCATGTACATATTTTTCTTAACGCGCATTGTATTCGAAAACAGCTGACTATCGGGGTCAATGATCTCGAGCGGTCCGTCGCAAAAATAGCGTCAAAAGAAAAATCGAGGGATCCAAAGATTAGTTTTTTATTTATTTATTACCATTCAACAACTGCAAACAGGTTTTTGTTTTAATATAACGAAATTAGCTTATACTAACTAGTATTTGGTGATTTATTGATATTACTTTCAATTTGGCTTTGCGCATTAAATGTGTATGCCCGAGGTTTGAGAATTAAAAATCAGTTCTTTTTTTAATTTCAAATTTCTAAGCATTTAGTTCACTAATCAAAAACGGAACGTGATAGCTATAGATAATTTTTTTTTTCTTTTGGAATCATAGGCATTGATTGTTGTTATCTTTCCAGCTTCGGAGTTCACGTATGAGCGAACTCAAGGTTCAGTCGAGAGGCAAGCGTTTTTGTTTCGCGAATGCAAAACGAATAGTATTGAAAATTTGCTCTAGCTTAATTAATCAGAGAAGAAACAGGAACATTTAATTGCATGGACGCAAGCTACCAGTGTTCTATAAAACTTACCTCAGAAGTTCATGTTAAAGCTGCATCTTAAAGCTTTTGAAAGTTCAATGACATCGAAATAATAAAGTGTTGAGACTCGAATGAAACAAGGTAAAACATTTTGATAATTTTTTTTTAGATGTCATGACCCTGTAACCATGCCTTTACACCAAGTTTTATATTTTCTTCGTATATTCTGTTATAACATGAAAAATGATATGAAACGAAACAAGATGAGTTGATCAATTTGAGACTAAACAAGCGGGATGAAAATAAATAAAACGATATGAAATGGGATGAAATATAGTGTCAGTAAAATTATGGTTGTTTAAGATTCTTTCAGTGGAAGGCTTTAGTTTCATTTTCCCATATTTGTTCACAGATGATGCTAAACAGTTAATAAGCCACCGTTATTACACGCTTAAGTCTAAAGAAAAACTAAATTAACAAAATAAAACAATCCACTCAACTTCGCTCCTCGCGTTCCCGCCAAATAGTGAAAACGTTTTTAAAGTGAAAAACCAAATTAGGTACCTGTCTCTTTTATTTGGTTAACTTAATAAAATACATTCGTTAATTTTCGGAATTCGTGATCTGTAATATAAAAACCTTTTGCCTTAACCAAAACAAACCAAAGTTCGTTATTACCATAAACGCGATTCTATATTTGTATGTATACCTAGATTTAATTAATTTTAATTTTTTTGTACCTATACATAATTAATCTAATATTATAATTTGTAAATATATAGGTAATATGTAAGACCTATGAAGTAACAGAAATTTTAATATTATGACGACTTTTTGCTACCCTTTACAATTAGCTAACGCTTAATAGTCTGTGCAAGTAAAATTCTAGGTAAGTAGGTATTTATGACAAATTTATTATGAAATACATTCTATTCTATAATATTATTATTAAATTATAATATTATTTAAAACACCATTTCTATTTATGCATATTAATAAAAGCAAATATTTGCTTTTATTAAGAATGCTAACAGTGCATAAAAATATATTGATTTGATTGAAATAATTTTTTGCCGTCTTATCTAAGATTCTCTACAAACTAAACACAGGGGTATTATAATACGAACATATTATTTAGTTATAATTATTGAATAGAACTTATATGTTACTGGACGCGCGAGTTCTATTTCCGTAAAAATCGTCATAATCACAGTGTTTCGATTAGAGAAACCTTGCAAAAACTTCGTGTAAAATTGAAATTGAGCAAAAATCGAAATGAGAATCACTTACGTGCGTGCGTGTTCTTTGAAATTTTTGATACAGTTTACATTTTTATATATTTTCGGTGTTTTTTAATTGAAATTCTGTACTCACTTGATCCTCGGTTGGATGCTCGTGGCTGCAGTGGACATTACTGTGTTCTGTTATCAGCGTTTCACAGGCAACAAACACGAAATTCACAAACAAAAACCAAACAATATTACACGCGTACGCTTGATCTATTTTCGACATTATAACTTTTATGTGTTCACATTCAGCGATGTATGTTTACATTTTACGTTTGCTTCGACGAACGACACACGTGCATTACACACGGAAAACTCTGCGCAACTAAAATTTTTCATTAATTCTTCGCTTGGAATAAGCTCACTGGGAGGCCGATCGTAACAGCTGAGTTAGAGGCGTCCATCGCCATGTTTGATAAAACTATCTCTTTCTCGCTCGAAGGATAGCTAGGCAACGTGAAAGAGATAGAAGCACTTTGAAACTCCAATTGATTTTATAAGATTAATAGCATTGTATTTTGTTTGGTATTTAAAACGGATTCACTATTTTAGTAAAGTCAAGGATATTCTCGGTATATTTTAATACAAATGTACTTCATTAAGTTATCTCTTTAGTGATAATGATCATTAAAATGTTTTATTCTTTGACGAAAATGAAACATTAAAAAAAAGTATTTTTTTTTAAAAGTCGATTTAAGATACGTATACACACAAAATCGTAAGATTATCTGTTAGCTGTTAGTGATAACACAATCTAGTCTAAAATGCATTGCTCACAATATTTGCTTCGGTCTTGACGAGTCGCAGACATAATTAAAACTAATTTTGTCAAATGTCGACAAAATAACAACTTAGTCTTAACAATGCTTACATTATAGATTTTTTGACCTAACTATTCACTGGTAGGCTAATAATGAGCTGTTCCAACTACGATTTTGATAACATTTTTTTACTAGCAGAGGCCGAACCTCCATCAGGAGGTATCCGCGCCTAGGGGACACGCGGGGTATGCGGAATTTGATGGTCTCCAGATGTTGGTTGCTAACACTAGCGCACAAGACTTTGAAGTCGTCGTGGCATAAAGGATAAGACGTCCGGTGCATTCGTATGCAGCGATGCAACGGTGTTCGAATCCCGCTGACGTTGATGGGTACCAATTTTCCTAATGAAATACGTACATAACAAATGTTCACGATTGACTTCCACGGTGAAGGATCGCGTAATAAAAATCAAACCCGCAAAATTATAATTTGCGTAATTACTGGTGGTAGGTAGGACCTCTTGTGAGTCCGCACGGCTAGGTACCTGCCGATTTTTGCCGTTAAGCAGTAATGCGTTTCGGTTTGAAGGGTGGAGCAGCTATTGTAACTATACTGAGACCTTAGAACTCATACCTCAAGGTGGGTGGCGGCATTTACGTTGTAGATGTCTATGAGCTCCCGTAACCACCTGTTCGGAATCGCGACCCACTGGGAAGATCCGGCGAGAAACTCAGGCTGTGTCTATGGGTTAATTCACTCGTTGAACTCTTTGTTGTAATCGACGAGGACGGTGACCGGTTTTTGAAGAGCCTAAAAGCACCGTGAGTGGATCCGGGGGATCCAACAAGGCATGCTCCGGGCGATGGCGCGGGAATCTAATGTTTTCGATAACAAGAGAATAAGAGAATTATCGTATCGCACCGCTTTATTAAAGTAGCATTCTGGCGTCCTAAGATACTTCGATTCTAGTTTTAGGTCGTCGTGAAGATAAACCATTCCTCACATACAACGCTGCTCCGAAGAGGAATTAACAGCTCGCCTGCAGTAAGTAAAATCATTGACCTAGATCTTTTTTTTTATTGCCCTTGTAGGCAGACGAGCATACGGCCCACCTGATGGTGAGTGGTTACCGTCGCCCATGGACTTCGGCAATGCCAGGGGCAGAGCCAAGCCGCTGCCTACCGCTTAATCCGCCGTGGCGGATCGAAAGACGCCCCCAATGATATTACCACCAGTGCCTATCAGGTATTTTTAGACCCACCAGCACTAGAATAGATTAAGATGCTATAACTTTGCGAAAACATCTATACTAATATATAAATCTACAGTGGTTTTTACGGATGTTCCGTTATAGCTACTGAACCATGCATCCGATTGACTTGAAACTTGGTATCCATGTAGAAAATACATGTACTTAATGGATAGGCTAATAATATTTATATGAATGTTGGACTCCCTACACCAGTTGCGGTGGCGTTAATGATGAGAATATTCGTGGAGGTGAGAAATAATAATGTTAATTTTAAATGCCCAGCGAAGCGGACGGGTACAGCTACTAGTATATACAATTTATAGTATACTAGCGACCCGCCCTCGCTTCGCTTCGGAAACTGTAATTTATTATTGATTTCTCCACTATTTAATGGATGTTATTATACATATAAGCCTGCCTCTTCAATCACTCTATCTATTAAAAAAACCGCATCAAAATCCGTAGCGTAGTTTTAAAGATTTAAGCATACATAGGGATATAGGGACAGAGAAAGCGACTTTATTTTATACTATATAGTGATAGTTGTCAGGCAAAGTGGAGAAGTTTTAAATAGAAAAAGCGGAAACTCCGGCATTAGACCGGGAGAACGCTAGGAAGAAGAAGAAGAAGTTGTCGGTGTCGAAATCTTACAAACACCTGAAGTAATTGGTCCGCATCAGCGAGAGGGACATGATTTTTCTCGTCGCACCAGCTGATAGTAACGCGGCGGGCCGATATGAACCTGGTTCGCAGTGAAGGTGTTAATGTCTGTATGTGAAGCGTGAGCGAACACTACACTTGCATAGGTCACGACGTATGCAGAATTGTTAGTGTCATCTTGTCACGAAGAAACAATTTACTTCGCTTACAAATCATGAGGTAGATTCGACCGATTAGGAACGATTGGGTCGCAGACTCTTTTTATGTGAGGATGGAATGTCATCCTTCAGTCAAGGGTGACGCTAGGCGCTTGGCCATCGAGCCTCAAGGTATGGGCTGGCCAAATATTTTGATGGTGGACATGGAATTACCGCGGCTAATTTGGGACAAGATACTAGCAGTGGTGTCGGGAAGAGAGGAGTAATTACTGGTGGTAGGACCTCTTGTGGGTCCGCAGGGGCACCACCGCCCTGCCTATTTTTGCCATGAAGTAGTAATGAGGTTTCGGTTTGAAAGGTGGGGGGGTAGCCGTTGTAACTATACTGAGACATTAGAACTCATATCTCAAGGTGGGTGGTGGCATTTACGTTGTAGATGTCTACGAGCTCCGGTAACCACTTAACACCAGGTGGACTGTGAGCTCATCCACCCATTAATGCAATAAAAAATAAATAAATAACCTTCCTTGGGCAAATATACATCTGACGAATATTATTGTTTGTTCTGTCTGTCTGTCGTCGTGAAGTTTTTAAAATACTGTCACTTCAAGAACCATTGTTGTGATTTTTTAAATATGATTATACACGATACATCATCGGCCACAATACAGTCACGTAAACGTGCTAAGCGCATTCTAGAACGTTCGAACAATGGGATCCGCGGAATAATACATTACAGTGTCAAACAAATTTGAAAGGCGTCACTACTTAACGTGACCGAAAAACAACAAAAATACATATTTATTTAAAGCAAATTGTATCATCTAACGTAAAGAGTAAGAATTTCAGTACGAGAAGAGCTCTGGATCAGTACAGAGCTGCAGAGGACTATGTCTATAGTAGTGTGGTATAGGACTCTCGGCTGGATGTAGGTCGGATCTGTGTCTGTTTGTGTACGAGAAGAGCTCGGGATCAGTACAGAGCTATAGAGGACTGTGTCTATAGTAGCGTAGTATAGGACTCTCGGCTGGTTGTAGGAAGATCTGTGTCTGTTTATGTACGAGAAGAGCTCTGGATCAGTACAGAGCTGCAGAGGACTGTGTCTATAGTAGTGTAGTATAGGACTCTCGGCTGGATGTAGGTCGTATCTGTGTCTGTTTGTGTACAAGAGCTCGGGATCAGTACAGAGCTGCAGAGGACTGTGTCTATAGTAGTGTAGTATAGAACTCTCGGCTGGATGTAGGTCGGATCTGCGTCTGTTTGTGTACGAGAAGAGCTCGGGATCAGTACAGAGCTGCAGAGGACTGTGTCTATAGTAGTGTAGTATAGGACTCTCGGCTGGATGTAGGTCGGATCTGTGTCTGTTTGTGTACGAGAAGAGCTCGGGATCAGTACAGAGCTGCAGAGGACTGTGTCTATAGTAGTGTAGTATAGGACTCTCGGCTGGATGTAGGTCGGATCTGTGTCTGTTTGTGTACAAGAGCTCGGGATCATTACAGAGCTGCATAGGACTGTGTCTATAGTAGTGTAGTATAGGACTCTCGGCTGGATGTAGGTCGGATCTGTGTCTGTTTGTGTACGAGAAGAGCTCGGGATCAGTACAGAGCTGCATAGGACTGTGTCTATAGTAGTGTAGTATAGGACTCTCGGCTGGATGTAGGTCGGATCTGTGTCTGTTTGTGTTCGAGAAGAGCTCGGGATCAGTACAGAGCTGCAGAGGACTGTGTCTATAGTAGTGTAGTATAGGACTCTCGGCTAGATGTAGGTCGGTTCGCGTAAATATAACGTCACGTTTTTCCACCTCATCATGTATTCAGGATGCGAATTTAGGCGACTCTTGTAATATTACGTGTTCACTTATAGAAAGTGTTAATGCTTGAATTTCAATGACTTCGTGTTACTTATTACGCTATTGATTCAACTATTGATTAATTTAGAAATGTCTACATCTCAGAGCTGTTATATTGTTTTGTGCTGTGCAATATCTTTGTAGGACTACCCACCATACGCCCACTATTCCAAGAATACATTTGACTACAAACTACAAACAAAAGAGGGTTGTTATCAATAATTCCATTCTTTCGGATCGTTTGGAACCTCTGTCTGCGGAGGCAATTCGATATTCTCTGTGTTTTGTACCGTATGTTCTTATGAGGAGTGCACTGAGGAAATGTTTGAGATGATCTCATCATCTCATTTCTCCCATCGCATCGTCCGCCACCGGAGTACAGTTCTTCCATACTACCTGGATTCACTGCGTTCATCCACAGTGCGTTTCCAGATATCTTTTTTGCCACGCACCATCTGGCTTTAGGATAAGCTCCCCTCCACGGTGTTTCCCGTGCGCTATGAAATGTCCTTCTTCAAACGAGGCTTGTGGAGAGTACTTAACGATAGGCAACGGCTTGACTTCGCCCTTGCCATTGCTGAAGTCCATGGGCGACGGTAACCACTCACTCTCAGGTGAGCCGTATGCTTGTTTGCCTACAAGGGCAATGAAGATATCGGCCCTTCTGCGAAATATTCGTTTTAAAATCATATTAACAAATTTTCACATTACGTGTTGTTTTCATGTATATTATTAGCACTTTGCCAACGAAATTGTCCTGTAGTATACAGAAAGATAAAGTATTTTCTCTTTTTTAAATATAAGAAAGAGAAAAGATAAATCTAAGATAAAAGATCAAGAAAAAGTTTCTTCGCATTTTTTAAGAAAATTCACAACATTTTTAATATAGTTTATTTACATTTAACTAAGATATGTAGGTACCATTTTGTTCGATAACTTTTTGCCATCTTGTAGATAGGGACGTGATCCCATTGCTATCGAAATTTTGGGGCTTCTGATCAAAATACCGCGACAATTGGTTTTGGCAGTCCTCTCGTGATGTTAACCTGACACTGCCTAAAGAATTCTGAACAGACCGAAACAGGTGGAAATCTGAAGGTGCAAGGTCAGGACTATACGGCGGATGCATTAACACCTTCCAGCCAAGCTCTCTCAATTTTTGCTGAGTGGCTAAAGCTGTATGAGGTCTAGCGTTATCTTGATGAAAAACCACACCCCTTCTGTTAATTAATTCCGGCCGCTTTCTCTCAACTTCTTGCTTTAATCTCATCAGTTGTTCGCAGTAGAGTTCAGAATCAATGGTCCTGCCTGGGCTACTTTCACACTTCCTCTGATATACGGACTTCCTAATATTACTTAAAATAAATTTCCGGGATAAAAATAAAACACATACCCTTACGTATATATGCATATATTGATGGGTAAAAGACATTTATCGACATAGATCGAGGGACTGCTGATTAATAGCATTTGCAGCAGGCACTTGAAAGGAGAAAAAAAAATGTAATGATATAAAATATAATGATAGTTATGTGTTGGATTTTTAAGTTACTAACATAGATTATAAGTCATTCTTACTAACAAAATGCTATGGTTTAAAAAAAAAACTGAAATAAAGTAAAAATAAATAAATAAATAAATTATCTTCTTTTTTAATTAAAGGTCTGTTGTTTTATTTGGTATCAGCATCAAAGCAGTTCGATGTTTTTAATTGAACTTCAATTATGTTTATTCCATTAAAAAATAGCTGAAGCTTTTTTTTGTTATGATATTTTTTCAAAATGCTTATTAAACTTTAAATGGCTCTCCCGTGTAAATTTATAAAAGTGTCTCTTAACCCAAACAGTCTTTCACCTCTCAATATACCTACATACATACTATATTTTATTTATTTAATCAACAAATCTCACCAAACCAACAAATAAATTAATGATATATTCACAAGTTTTTTTATTTCCAAAACCAAGTTACGCAAAACAATTAACAAATTATTTATTTACTTATAAATAGGAACACATACACAAGGAAAATAAATAAACCAAAATTTATAAAACTTTTGTTTTTAGTGCCCTCGTAGGCAGACGAGCATACGACCCACCTGATGGTGAGTGGTCACCGTCGCCCATGGACTTCAGCAATGCCAGGGACAGAGCCAAACCCCTGCCTGATGTTCACATTACGAATTATATATTTATATGTATTATATGCATGTAGGATTGATAAGAACGGAACATTTTTTTTTATTGCTTGGTTAGATGGACGAGCTCACGGCCCACCTGATGTTAAGGGGTCACCGGAGCCCATCGACATCTACAACGTAAATCCCACCACCCACCTTGAGATATAAGTTCTAAGGTCTCAGTATAGTTACAACGGCTGCCCCATCTTTCAAACTGCTTCACGGCAGATTCACTCACAAGAGGTCCTACCACCAGTAATTACGCAAATTATAATTTTACGGGTTTGATTTTTATTACACCAGTTCATTCACGTTCTACATCGCCATTATTCACCCACGCTTATACATTTAAATGCTATTTTCTGCTCATACGCCATTCCTATAATTAAGATCCTATTTTATCCACGTTCTGATCGGCGCCACACAATCTCTTGAAGAACTCTTTCGACGCGAGACATCTCTGACTCACGCAATGCGGACATCTGAAACGACAAAGTACATAACGACCTAACCCACAGACACATCCCACTGAGTTTCTCGCCGGATCTTCTCAGTGGGTCGCGTTTCCGATCCGGTGGTAGATTCTGCGAAGCACTGCCCTTGCTAGGGTTCGTGTTAGCAACTTCGTCAGGTTAGAGCCCCGTGAGCTCACCTACTAGTTAAGGTTACGCTGGAATAGATTCTCAAGGATACCAGCATAGGTAGGAAAAAAAAAAAAAAAAGCCCACTGAGTTTCTCGCCGGATCTTCTATATAAGCGTGTGTGTGTGTGTAATGTTTTTATTTATTGATTTAATGTATTTCTCATGCATAATTTAAAAGAAAATATTAGCATTCTACACTCCTTCTCTATATTCTCTATAAGTGTGGATAATTTCATACTCCTCCGTCCGCGCAATTTTCGTAAAAAGGGATACAAAATTTTTGCTTCACGTATTAATGCGTGTATAGAGAGACCGTGTTTTTTTTGGTTGATTAGCCGACTTTGCAAAAAAAAAGGAGGTTCTCAATACGATTGTAACTTTTTATTTGTATGCTTTTTTTTTTATTCGATGGTAAGTGGTAAGGGAGTATTTCAGCTACACGCGGGTAGGTGAACTATCGTAACAGAATTATCCTAAGAGAACGTTGCTAACACGAACCCTAGCAAGAGCCGTGCTTCACAGAATCTACTAACGGATCGGAAACGCGACCCACTGAGAAGATCCGACGAGAAACTCAGTGAGCTGAGTCTGAGGGTTAATTTACTGACGATGGCCGGTGCTTGAGGTACTTACAAGCACCGTTAGTGGATCGGGAGGATCCGAGATGACGTGTTTGGGGCGACGTCGACTGCTTTCCATTCTGTCCGCAGGATCGGGAATGTAATGGGGTCCAGTAACCACTTAACACAAAACTTAGCCGAGAAGGCAAGCTTTATTGAAAGACGCGTTTGTGGTCAGCGGTGAGGTCACGTACCTGGTCAGGAACTGCTTCGAGATCCTCGGTCCGTTGCTGATGTGGCCCGCGACGACGTCCGCCAGCGCCGCGATGAACGTCGGGTGCACGTTCGGAGCCTCCGCCCTCTCGATCTGGAGGATCCCGGCCTGCGGGCGCCGCGGCGTACAACGATATACATAACACATAGAAAGATATATATATATATATATATATATATATANCACGTACCTGGTCAGGAACTGCTTCGAGATCCTCGGTCCGTTGCTGATGTGGCCCGCGACGACGTCCGCCAGCGCCGCGATGAACGTCGGGTGCACGTTCGGAGCCTCCGCCCTCTCGATCTGGAGGATCCCGGCCTGCGGGCGCCGCGGCGTACAACGATATACATAACACATAGAAAGATATATATATATATATATATATATATATATATACATACTAAGATTAGCTAAAGTTTTCTGTTCCCGTTAATATTAACGTCCTTGATTAACTATTACTATAATTACAGCGCATCGGCAGCGGATTGGCTCTGCCCCTGGCATTGCTGAAGTTTATGGGCGACGGTAACCACTCACCATCAGGTGGACCGTATGCTCATCTGCCTACAAGGGCAATAAAAAAAACGTAAACTATACTTTAAGACGGTATTCAAGAGAATTAATGAACAAACTACCCTCAACTGTGTTGTAAAAAAAAAAAACTCCATACAAATTCGAGTTAACTTTTACGCTATCGAGAACGTTAAGAAACTCGCACTTAGCTTACTGATGGTTCTTACCTCCTTGGCTACCTCGTCGTAAACTATACTTTAAGACGGTATTCAAGAGAAATAATGAACAGACTACCCTCAATTGTCTATTGTTAAAAATGAAAAAAAAACTCCATACAAATTAGAGTTAACTTTTACGCTATCGAGAACGTTAAGAAACTCGCACTAAGCACGCGGATGGTTCTCACCTCCTTGGCTACCTCGTCGCAATACTCGATGTCCAGCTCGTGCAGGGTCTCGATGTGTTCGTTGACGAAGGCCACTGGCACCAGGATCAGATGCTTGACTCCTTGCTTCGCGTACAACTGGACATACAATAACATAGACTAGTGGTTCCACAGTATTTTTTTTATTGCTTAGATCGGTTCACGAGCTCACAGCCCACCTGGTGTTAAATGGTTACTGGAGCCCATAGACATCTACAACGTTAATGCGCCACCCACCTTGAGATATAAGTTCTAAGGTCTCAGTATAGTTACAACGGCTGCCCCACTCTTCAAACCGAAACGCATTACTGTTTCACGGCAGAAATAGGCGGAATGGTGATACCCACCCGCGCGGACTCACAAGAGGTCCTACCACCAGTGATTACGCAAATTATAATTTGTGTAGAGTTATGTAATTTACTCGCTGAGGACGGTGACCCGAAGTCATAACAGTCTGCAAAGCTGTAAAGTGTTGGGACTGACCTTGATCGCGTCGTCGGTGTAGGGCTGGAGCCAGGGCAGGGGGCCCACCTTGGACTGCCAGACGAGCCGGTGCGGATTCCGGCCGCCGAGCTCCTCCATGGTCCTCGACACGGTGGAGGCCACCTCATGAGGATACGTGTCGCCTCTCGATACGGCCTGAATATGTAACAATCAAAAATATCCAGTATTGAATATTGGGTAAGCGTGCCATCTTGTATTTCTAGATGGACATGTGTACCAAGGATTATGGTCTAGAAGAATATGGGAGCAAGTACCATTAGGGGATTCTATAGGGACATGTGTAACAATAAGATGTCCTAGAAGAATATGGGAGCAAGTACCATTCTGGGATTCTATAAGGGCATGTGTACCAGGAATGGCCTAGAGAAATGGGAACAAGTATTATTATGGGATTCTATAGGAGCATATGTACCAAGAATGGCCTAGAGAAATGGGAACAAGTACTACTTTGGGATTCTATAGGAGCATATGTACCAAGAATGGCCTAGAGAAATGGGAACAAGTACTACTTTGGGATTCTATAGGAGCATATGTACCAAGAATGGCCTAGAGAAATGGGAACAAGTACTACTTTGGGATTCTATAGGAGCATATGTACCAAGAATGGCCTAGAGAAATGGGAACAAGTACTACTTTGGGATTCTATAGGAGCATATGTACCAAGAATGGCCTAGAGAAATGGGAACAAGTACTACTTTGGGATTCTATAGGAGCATATGTACCAAGAATGGCCTAGAGAAATGGGAACAAGTACTATTTTGGCATTCTATGTGGGCATGCGTACCAAAAATACCCTATAAGAATTGGAACAAGTACCATTTTGGGATTCTATAGGGACATGTGTACCAGGAATGGCTTAGAAGAAAGGGAACAAACACTGGCTGTACAAATAAAAATTTGCACCTATTTATCTAACTTTAATTTCGTTTTTTATTGCTTTGGTGGGTGGACGAGCTCACGGCCCACCTGCTGTTAAGTGATTAAGTGGTTCATAGATATCAACGACGTAAATTCCGCCACCCACCTTGAGATATAAGTTTCTCACTTTGAGATATGAGTTCTAAGGTCTCGGTATAGTTACAACGGCCCCTTCAAACCGAAACCCATTACTGCTTCACGGCAGAAACAGGCAAGGCGGTGGTACCTAGCCACGCGGACTCACAAGACGCCCCTACCCTCAGGTACCAAACGCTCTCCGAGAATGCTCACCTTCAAAGGCAGACTATGCGCCGTGAAGAGTATCAATACGTCATCCCTGATCTTCTCATCGAATTTGTCCAGTTTCTCCTTGATCCTCTCTGAGAAGACCTTCGCCAACAGCTTGTGGGACGCCCAGCGTTCTATCAAACTAAACTTTACGTTTGCCGGTGTCGTCCTGTAATGAACGAAGACCAAAGATTGAACAAATATTTAGGATGAATAAGGAGGGAATGAAAACCGTTCTCTTTTTTTTTGTCGATACTGCAACATAGCTGTGTGACGTCATTTGGGGCCAGAAATTACAATTTCGTGTGAGCTCTCAATAGGAGGTGCAATAATATAGTACATACATTGTGGTACGCCGGTAAGAGTAACGCCATCTATCGTCGAAAAGTCGAACGAATTGAGATAAATATTGTAGGTATAAATTTTTATAATATTACATTAATTCATTTAAAAAAAAATCATTTTCATTTGTTAACACAGAACTTATTGGCTGGACTAGGTATATTGAATGTCAATGTCTATGCCAAGCTTTCATAATCGTTTCTACCGTGTCCAAAATTTTCCAGAACATTCTCTAGATTGTTCTTCATCAGTGATCGGTAACCTTGTCAACCTAAAACACCTATCTATATATTAATACGTGAAGCAAAAACTTTGTATCCCTTTTTACGGAGGAGGACTATGAAATTTTCCACACTTATAGAGAATATAGAGAAGAAGTGCACAATGCTAATATTTTTTTAAAAGAATGCATAAAAGATACATTAAATCAATAAAGAAAACATTACACACACTACATACCATGTATTTGACGCACACACGCATGCATACTATTTGTTGTCAAACTTTTGTTCTTGACGTCTGTTGTCAAATTGAGAATAGATTAAATATTGTTTGACTTTGTTAATATTTTTTATAGTGTAGTCTTGGCGAAATTTATGATTAAAGAAGTATACAATACAATCATGATAGTGTACAAACTGACAATTCCAATTAATTATAGTCGAATTTCGACTACTGCGGGACCTCTAGTTAAAGATAATACACAATTGAAATTGAACCTCTTTTTTACATAATATATTTTTATAGCCTTGTTTCAAAAAAGTTTACTATAAGTTTTTTACAAGGTAAGATAATATCGAGGTATAAAAGGCGATATTTGGTTTTTCGCGACATTTCGCTTAACACGCGACATTCATCTTTGTAACTAAAGGTCCGTTTTATTTCGTATCAGCATCAACAGTTTGATGGTTTTAATTGAACTAGGGGACCTCTAGTTCAATTAAGTAGCAGTAGTTGAAATTCGACTATAATTAATTGGAATTGTATAATGAGTTTGTACACTATTATGATTGTATTTTATACTTCTATAATCACAAATTTCGCCCCAAGACTACACTATAAAAGATTATTAATAAAGACAAACAATATTTAATCTATTCTCAATTTGACAACAGACGTCAAGAACAAAAGTTTGACAATAAATAGTATGCATGCGTGTGTGCGTCAAATACATGTGTTATGTAGTGTGTGTAATGTTTTCTTTATTGATTTAATGTATCTTTTATGCATTATTTTCAAAAAATATTAGCATTGTGCACTTCTTCTCTATATTCTCTATAAGTGTGAAAAATTTCATAGTCGTCCGTCCGCGCAATTTTCGTAAAAAGGGATACAAAGTTTTTGCTTCACGTATTAATATATAGACTATTTGATATTAACATCAACAATTCGATATTTAATTCAGTCTCAATCAAGTTCACTCCATTCAAATAGCTGACAAGTTTTCTTTGTTATGATATCTAATCCAAATGTTTAAACTTTGAATAGCTCTCCTGCTGTAAAGCCGCAAAAATGTCGCTTAAAACGGAGACCCGCCTTGTCCATGTCGAGAACGTTCTCGGGGCCAATATGTGTGCTTGGTTAACTCAAATTTGTATGGAGTCGGAACGTTTGCCTACGTTTGCCGCTAGGGGCGCTGTTCCGACTCCATACAAATCTGAGTTAACTTTCACGCTATCGAGAACGTTAAAAAAACTCTCACTAAGCACTATTGACCAAAGCTGTACCGAAACCCTTACCTGTTCTTATAGAAATCCGCGATCGCGTTCAGACTAGAACCAGTCGTCGCGCAGCTGTACTGAGGATACTGCGAGAATATGATAACTCTGTCCGCTCCGTCGCTGTAAGGGAAAGCGTGATGAAGAGAAACTGACTTCAAATTAACACGTTGAGACTTTTTGGCGGGAACGCGAGGAGTGAAGTTGTGTGATTTGTTTTATTTTGTCTATTTAGTGTTTCTTCAGGTTTCAATATGTAATAACGGTGGTTTATTAACTGTTTAGTATCTGTGAAAGTGCACAATGTGGGAAAATGAAACAAAGCCGCTGGACGTAACTTCTCGGGATCCTCCAAAAAGTCCACTGAAAAAGTCTCAGTATATGACCATCATTTTCCTGAGACTATATTTCATCTCATATCATCTCATTTCATTTAATTTCATCCCAGTTGATTAATGTCTCAAATTAATCATCTTCATTTCATTTCACTCCATAATATTATCATTTTTCATAAAATTAAGAATATAAATTAAAATAAGACATGACTTAAAGGTCTTAGACAACAGGTCATAAAATCATATTATTAAAAAAAAAAACACGTTGACTGTGGGATCATTGCTGACGGACTTTCCACCTTATTGGACAGCTTTAGGCGCCATATTTGAAATAATCACAGCACACGGCGGTTGGTAACTTTTCGACGAACCCAGTTTCATAATATTATTTCCGACGTTTCCAATACTGTGGGTAGGTACCACCACCCTGCCTATTTCTGCCGTGAAGCAGTAATACGTTTCGGTTTGAAGGGTGGGGCAGCCGTTGTAACTATACTAAGAGACCTTAAAACTTATATCTTGAGGTTGTAAATGTCTATAGAGTCCCCGGTAACCACTTAACACCAGGTAGGCTGCGAGCACGTCCAGCCATTGAAAAAAAAAAAATTAGTATAAATTTTTTCAAGTTCCAAGCAACACTGACAGATTTCTTTGTGTGCAAAATACCTTTCCACCTCCCTGAAGGCGTCTTCCGTGAACGGAGGAACGTATCTAAACGCCACGTAGTGCTTGTGAGGGGCTGACTCTGGGAGCATCTGATCTAAGGCCTGCGTTAATAAACTACCTACAAAAAAAAACAAAAATATAAAAAGTTCACTTCTGGGTTGTTTTATGTGATATTTTGTGTTTATTGTACCGATGAGCATGTTAGAATACTTTTTTATTGCCCCTGTAGGCAGTCGAGCGTACGGCCTACCTGATGGTGATTGGTTACCATCGCCCATTGACGTCAACAATGCCAAAGGGAGAACCAAGCTGCTGCCTACCATTAAATTCTCTTCATAAGCCTCGTTTGAAGAAGGATATGTCATAGGAAGACGTAACGTGGGACGCCCCCTGGCTAGATGGGGCGATGACCTCCGCACGGTGGCCGACAAAAAGTGGATGAGGAGAGCCGCAGACCGGGCTCAGTGGTGTAGATTGGGAGAGGCCTATGTCCAGCAGTGGACGACTGTGGGCTGTTGATGATGATAATGATTGATGATGTCATAGCGCTCAGCGTACGTGGCAAAAAAGATCCTTGGGAACGCACTGTGGATGAATGCAGTGGCTCCAGGTAGTATGGATGAACTTTACTCCAGTGGTGTGTGGTGTTGCGATGGTAAAAAAGAGATGATGGGATCATCTCAAGCAATGTCTTAGATCACTCCCCATGGAACATATGGTACAAAGCACAAACAGAAGTAACCACTTAACACCAGGTGGGTCTATGCAATCACTACATAGTATAAAAACAAAGTCGCTTTCTCTGTCTCTATATCTTTATGTATGCTTAAATCTTTAAAACTACGCAACGGATTTTGATGCGTTTTTTTTAATAGATAGAGTGGTTGAAGAGGAAGGTTTACATGTATAATAACATCCATTAAATAGTGGAGAAATCAATAATAAATTACAGTTTCCGAAGCTAAGCGAGAGCAGGTCGCTAGTAAATAAATAAATTAAAAAAATAACAACACCTTGACTATTTGTCCATTTCAATATGGGTGATCCTCCACCAATCTCCGAATACTTCTTCTTGACTTCCTCGGTCCTTCTACTGGCTATCCACGGTCCCAGTTTACTCTGCACCGGCAGCTGGATCATGTCTCTGTCTGTCATTATCCTGTGAAGATAGTCACCGACCTGTAAATTAAGATTATTTGAATTTTGACATCATCATAATATCATCTTGCAGTATTGGCAACGGATCACACGTCCCGAAGAGGGTTCTGTTGGCTAAACACAATTGAGGGTTTGTCTTCAAGCTCCAAGGTTTGAAAGATGCTGCTCAACTAATCGCAAAACAAATTGACAGGCATCTGTTCCTATACTCGATGGTTTCTGCAGATTTACAACCAGATTCATGTTCTGCATTATTTTAGGTATTTACCACGTCAGCTCAACAAAAAGTCTTATCAACTTTCTGATGCCGACAGGGTAACAAAGTATTTGGCTCATAATCTATTTCACCTAATCAAGTGACTTGCGGACAGAGCTGGGATATTAACATATGTATAAGCAATGCTTTAATTTGTGGCGACAACTCAATTTGTGGTATACCGTATTGTAGACATAATTAAAATTACTTTTACAGTTTAATTTCCCATATGTCTTTGTCATTACTAGAGGTCCCGCAGTAGTCGAAATTCGACTATAATTAATTGGAATTGTATAATAACTTTGTACACTATTATGATTGTATTTAATAGTTCTATAATCACAAATTTCGCCCCAAGACTACACTATAAAAGATTATTAATAACGACAAACAATATTTAATCTATTCTCAATTTAACCACAGACGTCAAGAACAAAAGTTTGATACTATATAGTATGCATGCGTGTGTGCGTCAAATACATGGTATGTAGTGTGTGTAATGTTTTCTTTATTGAATTAGTGTATCTTTTATGCATTATTTAAAAAAAATATTAGCATTGTGCACTTCTTCTCTATATTCTCTATAAGTGTGGAAAATTTCATACTCCTCCGTCCGCGCAATTTTCGTAAAAGGGGATACAAAGTTTTTGCTTCACGTATTAATATATAGATATTATTTTTTACATTTTGTAAACTTTACCAAATAAAATGTTAAATAGTTTTAATTGAAACTTTTGTCAAGCGCGTTTTCTTACCTGGTCCGTGGTCTCCGGCCCACCCATATTGAGCATGACTATAGCAGTCTTCGGTTTGACAGCGGTTCCTGAAGCCGTGCTGAATGCAGGAGGTAAACGAGGTAGTATCATGGAATTGAAGCGATCTGGAATTTGAGTTTATTAAATTAACACAAGTACTTTCATAAATTTCACGTGAATACTGACATATCGCACGTACGGTGCAATAAAATCACTTATGCAAATTATGTCATTTTTCATAAGAAACATTGGAAAATTCATCTCATTATATAGTGCTTATATAGTTCTGCCAGACTATACAAATAAAATAATATTTAAACAACAACTTTAAACTTCATCCGTAAAAGCAAACATCTCTCTCGTCTCCCAAAAATTTTAATGACTATTAAAAAACATGTTTTCTCATACTCAGTTCAGTGTCAACAAAAATTGCATAAGTTTTTTTTTTTTGATCTTACCTAAGCTGAGAGCCTTGAGAGGCTATATCAGCGTAACCCTAACTTTTGTAGGTGAGCTCACGGGGCTCAAACCTGATGACGTTGCTAACACGAACCCTAGCAAGAGTCGTGCTTCCCAGAATCTACCACCGGATCGGAAACGCGACCCACTGAGAAGATCCGGCGAGAAACTCAGTGGGCTATTGCATAAGTGACTTTATAGCACCGTATGTGCGATATGTATTTCAATTTTCATCACGACTAGACTTTTTATAGTTTTTTGGTTAAACACCTCGAGGGAATTTTTGTTTAATTAGTGTAAAATTGATTAAAATATTTAAAAAGAATGTCAATAAATATAATATGTGTATTTGAATGTAATATTCAACTGTAATATTTAAAAAAATCAAAAAATATATATTCCAATCATAGTTTTCGTTAAATGTGAAAATAATTTATTAATATATTAAAATGTATGTACAAATGTTAATTAAAGTGTTCCGGTAGTTTACATTATGATACTGAATATTATGATGTCATTAAATTACTTTAAAAGCATTGTGCAAGTTCTGGGGAAAGACTAGATTAAAAATGACAGGGTTTGAAGGGCGGGGTAGCCGTTGTAACTATACTGAGACCTTAGAACTTATATCTCAAGGTGGGTGGTGACGTTTACTTTGCAGATGTCCGGTAACCATCTAACACCAGGTGGACAGGTCCACACATGTAAATAAAAATATACATAATATATTGACGATATGCTGATACGAGCTTGTTTCGTGTAAGACACATTCGTGGCTTAGTTGACTAAGATTCTTCAAATGGCACCTGTCCCATCCCTACGTTTCATCCTCACAAAAAATTACAATTTCCTATCATTCATTATTTACATAACGAAAATCATTTAACCAAAAAAAAAAAACTTACGAATTTTAGACATCATCCTTAAATTGTTTCGTAAATAAAGTATATATTTTGCTTAAATGAAAATTATAAAGTATTTTTTAAATGCAATTTTTGTTCAGTCTTAATTACTTAATTTTATTTAAAAAAAAGACCGACACATTCCTTCAACTTAATATTATTATGCATAGATTATACACTTGTTATTATGTACAAACAGTAACTATTATAGTAATCTGTGGTACAAACCATATAATCTTACTCTATGGTACAAACTCTCCTGTAGGTTTATTAACTACGTACACATCATTCACGATCCTGTGGACCGAATGGTAAGCAGTAGACGTCACCCATGGAGTTAATAAGTACCTACAACCTAACTCTATGACGTCGCCCTAAACACGTCATTACGGATCCTCCCGATCCATTAACGGCGCATTTAGGTACCTGAAGCACCGGTCACCGTCCTCGCCGAACCTGTCGCTTCCGACGAAGGGCTCGACGATTAAATTAACCCATAGAAACAGCCCACTGAGTTTCTCACCGGATCTTCTCAGTGGGTCGCGTTTCGGATCCGGTGGTAGATTCTGCGAAGCACTGCTCTTGCTAGGGCTAGTGATAAAAACGTCCTCAAATTAGAGCTATCAGCATAGGTAGGAAAAATAATAATAATGTGTACAATAAAAAAGTTTTCCCCTATATTTTTTAATGATATAATCTGAATTCCTAAAAAAATTAAAACTCTAAATACATAATATTAAGTATTATTTGTAAACAGAGTAGGTTGAAGAAAAAGTTTCATAGCGTGTTTTGTACTTTAGTGACTTTGTCGAAGAACAATATGGCAATTACTGGTACCAATGCAGTTTAAGATTTGATTTCGATGTCATTGTTGGTGGAAACGAGAGAAGAGAACATCTTGCTTTGCGCAAGTGACACTATTCATTAGACAGACGGTCCAAATGTTGTTGCACAGAACTTAATTTTATACGATCGTATCTTGAAAATGTCTTTAGTAGGATTCAGGTCTCGTTTTATTTCTTAAATGTTATGATAACTACTGTTAGTAAGTAGTACTGTAAAGGAAGATACATTAAGCTACAGCTAATATAATATTTTTACTTTACGGTACATTCTCGTGTAAAAAGCGCTAAGGGTGGTTACTAAAAATTGTTCAAAATCTAATGGTTTTGATTCTAGCCTGATACTTAAATGCCAATTATTTATTATTAAATTTTTTTCACTTTGAACGTGTGTATAGTACTTTTTTTTATTAGAGCTTCGGGTGGTATCATCGCCAAAACTATAAGATATTTTTTTACTATTTAAGTTAAGAGCTAACATTTAAAAAAACCTAGGTATATTTGGCCTATTAACCTAGGTATACTTGATTATAAGAGTCTCACAATATTTGTTGTTTCAATTTCAATATTTCGTGTCCCCATAGATATACATGCTTTCAGCATCATAAATAAAATAAAAATCTAATCAGTTGTTTAGTACAACGCCAAAACGGTAAGAGTTAAAATTCAGGTTTCTTTAAATTAGAAGTTTAAAATATAATTTAAAAATATCATTTAAATGAGCTGATCTGTGAATATACTGAGCAGTGATCAAGTGATCACTACCACAGACTATACTATCATATCACTTTCATATTTGTTCCTATCTTCATGTCATTCAGATATTTACATTTCTGTCAAGTCCTTCTTAATTGTGATTGTGAAAGTGTTTTAGGATTATTCTCTTGTGTTTTAACTTAATTAGTATTGTTCTTTTTATTAAAAAATGTCTTGTCGTCAAGCATACCATGCTGGATGTTGGTACACCGAAAATGGTAAGAATTCTATTTAAGTTAATGCTTTAATCTAGGCGAATCTCTTGTGATCGATGATTGTTCCAATTTAACTATATTATAAGTTTTGATTTCAAGTATGTACCAAAGACCTACATTAATTGGATGTTTTGACTATGACTTAAATTTTTATTATTTAAATTAGTTCGCAAAGTCAAAGGGACGATGACCTTTCTTTAGAATGCGTTTTTCGCTCACCAATCCACTGCTTTCTTTGTTTTTCGCAAATAACCTCATTTTTAAAATAGTTTGACATTGTCACTTAATAGTGACATTTGACATAAGCTGACGCGTTCACAATTCTGAGAAGATTTAAAAGAAAAAACCTTTGTATTTTCGTAATATAAAAAATCAAGTAATGACGGACGTGTGCGGTTATGAATCGTATATTTTCTATAAACCAAAAACAATCCTCATATTAAATAAAATTCAGAATAATATATCAAAAGGTTTTTTTTGTTAATTTGAGCTACGTAATGTGTTCTTGAACGCATCGGAATGTTCGGTTGCCATGACAATGGGCTTCCATGACAGTAATTCAAACAAACTTTGAAGGGAGTAAACAGTTTTTAGTTTATTTAATTGGCTTTTAAATGGTAATGGTAATTAGTGGTTAATTTAACGCCGAATTTCATTAGAATGTCTGATCGGACGAAACCTTTCGCCGCCCCGTCTTCCAAATTGGCGGTAAGGAATAAGCGACCACCTACTGCAAGTGGAGCATCTTCATCTAGAAAAGTGCCGTCAACGGTCGTGAAGGAGAAGACACGATCAAAATTAAATTCCACCACGATCGGAGAGAGCGACATCTCTGTTTTGAAAACGGAAATGCCGGATTTTGAACCAGAAAACCGCGCCATTGCGTACGGCAAATTTTTGCGCGCCATGCTTGAAGAATGTTTGGTCGATGAGAAAATAGAACGGGAAGAAACACAAATCGACGTACAAATGGCGCAATTGGCAGACAGATTTCAGAAAACCATTGACCATCTAGACAAAACTAACCGACGGATAAAGGAAATCAATTTCGTGGCCGAACAAAAACGGTACTTATTTTTTAATGCATAAAAATCATTTATCCTTTATTGAGATTTGTCCGTTCTATATTTTAAAAAAATCAGTAAGTAGGTAATTAAAAAAAAGTACAAAAGTAGTGAATGTTCTATCTATCTCTTAGGTTTATGGCGTTTCCTTTTATAGTGAATGTTCACATAAAAAATTTAATATATGTCCACTTAAAATTTGGCCAATTTTAAGTGGACATATATTTTTTTTTAGTGAATGTTCACATAAAAAATATATGTCCACTTAAAATTGGCCAACAAAATGAAAAATATAAGTATATAAAAACGCAGGTGTGAAATATACCTGGTTTTTAATTATTTAATAGCTTATACATAAAACATTTTTACCTTCATTTAAAATTACATTTACACTGCATTCCATGTACATACATTTTTTTACGCTTCTTCGTTTCTCATCAATAAGATATAAGTAAATATAAAACAAATAAAAACTTGGAACTCTTTTATTATAGAGTTTGATGGTACTAATATAATGTAGAGTACACTAATTTCCAATATTTATTTGTATACCTACAATAAAGTTTGGTACTCTTAATAGTTTTCAAGTTATAAACGTGAAACTCAAAAACACATTTGTGTTGAAATATTACTAAGACATCATTGCATGTTTGATCATTAAAATTTCCAATGGGATCAACCTCCATATTTTTGCAACTCTTTTTTTTTATGTCAATATTATAGGCTTGTCGTTGAATATTTGGCATTATGTCCAAATTTATTAATTCAATCTTTGAAATTGCTATTGGTTTTTAAGTACCTCTTTATTAAGTTTTAAGTTGATAACTACTATTAAAAACTATGCAATAATTTATGTAAATGCAAAAAAATACTATTAATGATTACAATCATGTGTTGTTTGTTAACTGTGAAAGAACTGGAATTCCTTAGAAATATTTGATATCCATCAATGATAATGTCATTACAGAATTTAAATAAAAAAATTACACTTACCAACCTGAACTAAGAATGAAAGTCTTCATTTTCAGGTTGATTGATTTAAAATCGAAGGATTGCGAGAAATTTTACGATATAACATCAAATTCAAACACCGTACAGCTTTTAGAGTCTTTGAAGAACACAGAACAGTCATGCTTAGATCAATTGCAAACGAAAAATATTGATTTCGGCTATGATAAAGAGTCCGGGCACAAGCTACTGTTGGATGCTGTGACTGATGCCATAGAAGGATTAGAAAACATTAAAAAGCATTCGAATCTAGACATTGACAAGTTCAAAGAATACGAGAAGACACAGAAAAGTCTGGTGGAGTTGGAAAAAGAGAGGCATGATCTGGACAGGCTACGAACGGACTTTGAAAAGAAATTTCCTGATCTCACAGAGAAACTCTTAGAGGAAGTATCTGAGAAGATAGCACAAGTGATGAATACTGATGAATGATGCTTAGCATGTTGTGATGAATAACTTTAGCAAGAATATATTGTTTATACTGTGTTGTTTGTTTTTGATTCTTTTGAATAGTTTTTTGAAACTTCGAAGTTCACATGGGCTAGGTATCACGATTATGCCTTTTTCTGACATATTATGCTATATGATCTCAATATATTTTGGCTTGTTGGGAAGCCATTATTTGAAACAATGACTTTTTAAATACCAGGGGGCTGGAAGATGTCCCACTGATATATGCTTTTTACACAAATTATTTCATGATTTAGAATATTACAGTACTAAAAGTCAAAATTTATAAATTTTCATGATTGTAGTGAGGTTTATTACCACACAGTTCTTGTTAACATTTGAGTTGTGATATCTATGGTATCGGATGACCATGTCCAATGAGAATCAGTTCAAGACCTCTTGTTTTTATTTTATTTGTTTATTTATAACACTTCGTGTATTATTTACATTGAGACTAGCCTAAGGCATTCTATAACAGTCAACCAAAGCTAGTGCAGAGTTAATAATGCATTGAAATATAAATTTAACCAATATTCAATTATAATTTCCACACGGGTAGGTACCACCTCCCCGCCTATTTCCGCCGTGAAGCAGTAATGCGTTTCGGTTTGAAGGGCAGGGCAGCCGTTGTAACTATACTGAGACCTTAGAACTCATATCTCAAGGTGGGTGGCGGCATTTATGTTGTAGATGTCTATGGGCTCCAGTAACCACTTAACACCAGGTGGGCTGTGAGCTCGTCCAACTAGTTAAACAATAAAAAAAACTGATGTTTTAATCCCGCCCCGGGATAGACCACGGCTTTTCCCAACAGCCGGGAGCTTTAATTATTATCTTATTGAATCCAGGTAGCGAGTTGTCTCGGCAACTTGATTTGTGGCTATCGAAAGCAGACCTCACCCACGGGCCGGCCAGAGCGATAATAGCACCGTAAGTACGTCATGCGTTGACTCCGATATTACCAGTGGGCTTAATGCGAGTTTTTTAACGTTCTCGATAGCGTAAAAGTTAACTTCAGATTTGAATGGAGTTCGAACAGCGCCCTTAGAAGCAAACCTACGTAAACGTTCCGACGCCATAAGCTAGACCGCGCGAGAGAGAGATGGGCAGACTTTTCATGATGCGCATGCAGTGCGACGTCACGCCGCGCGCTTATTCACAAACACTACACAAGCGCAACGTGTGAATGTGTTGAACGCGAGCTACATGGTAAGCGGAGTGGGGGGTGTTAGGTTTTATTTTAGTTACGGAATTTCTTGATTCGGTCGCCGCGCTCAAAGCCCGCGATAAAAGCTATGCAATAGCTTAAAATAAAACCAGTAAAATACCACCGCCCTGTCTATTTCTGCCGTGAAGCAGTAACGCGTTTTGGCTTGAAGAAGTGGGGCAGCCGTTGTACTGTAAAAAACGAGATTTATGTCAGCAACTTTGATACATAAATATAAGATTTAGTTTATATCAAGAAATCCTTATGAAGTTCCCGCTTCTGTGTGGGCGCGATGGATATGTGGAACTTTATGTCGAAATATAGGGCATAGCCTGTGAGGGAAAGTGATAGAATGCTTTCGAAAGTTTCGCTTCTATAGAGCGTGACGCATGTCTTTTTTTTTCAGTCACGCCGGATATTCCTACTGCGGCGCTTGCTCGGCGTACGCATATAGACAAGTCAGTCCTGTGGTTGTGTGAGTATATAGTTTTTTTTTGTAGGAGGAAGGATTACTAGTGGCCCGAAGACCTTTCCAGTTTCACCAGAACGGGTGGGCGAGCAAAGGCTCAGCCAGGAGGGTGGGATTTGCTAACAGCTACCTAAGCGCCTCCGAAGAAAACCTAACAACTCAGAGCTGCTGCTTCGCGAACGAATCTATATATAGCATTTATGTAGATTGATTAATAAAAAGGTTTTTTTTACGTGAAACCATTGCACGGGGCCATTGGATTGCTTCCGGATACCCATTGTACAATACAGTTAGATTAGGCAATGTGATTCGGTGATTGTTCTTTTTTATTTTTTAGTATGGTAACATTGGCTTTTTGTGACGTCAATGTTGCCAGTGTCGAGTTCATAAAAATCCTGAGTCAATAAATTAATACGCGTAATAAATATAAACAATGATATGAAGCGTAATGTGATATTTTTCCGGTTACATATTCTACGTACTATCTTCAGGTTTTCGAGTTTGTCAGGATTTTTACGAGCAAGCTTAGCAAAGTAGATTATATTATGCTGATAATTAATTTAAAAAAAAACTTGAAAAATTGATATTTCCAGCAAACGAATTTTCATATTGGGCCCATCACACCACGTGAGGATCGCAGGATGCGCTCTTTCGTCCCTCGACAAGTACCAGACTCCCCTCTACGATCTCACCATCGATAAACAAAGTAAGTGTGTGTTCTTTTTGTGTGTTTACGGCCATCGGCTACGCTACCTTTCAGTATGCATAGATAATCATTAACATATTCCTTTTAGTGTGATATCGACTTGCCGCATTAAAAGTGTACAATTTCCTAAAATATTCGAAATAGAGTTAATATTAGGAGTGGGTAATATCGGTTTTGCCGCGTATCGAATCGTATCTATATATCGAGTATCAATATCGGATATTGAATCTATATATTTTCTGAATCTATATATTGATGGATGCTAGTAGATTTTCTCGATTCATGTTATTTGAGATTTGAAACGATCGCTGATATAATATCGTAGTAGATATAGATTTAAGTCAACGTTATACGGTTGGTTTTCTGATATCAATTTATAATATGATTTTAAAGTAATAAAAAGAACATGAAAATAAAAATATCAAAAAAACTTTCCTTCATGCTTTTATCAGGCTTAGGACTGGCTACATTATTTTCAGTTTTTAGTATTTTGTGTCTTAATTTAAAATTACAAAATATACCAAAAGAGTGTAGATTTCAAAAGTTTAATACAAACACAAGAAATAAACTCAATTATTTGGATTCAACTAAAAATAGAAAAATGTGTACTTTAGAAATCAAACACAAAAAACTTTTAAGTATTTATAAACACTTGTCCAAAAATTGTAGTTCAAGGTCAAAGCGCGTGAAATTAAATTCAACGATGCAAATAGGCTATACTGCATTCAAGTTAGGGTCGAAAATTGAAACTTCTTTCCTAAATTGTATCCTGCTGATACGCTAAGAATAATTTACAGACATATGGACATAAATATAAGGTTTACAATTGTATGGATAATGCCTGTTTCTGTTTCATTCATCACATGATATCCCTATCGTGCGCTCACTCACTCTGGCCGATTCGATACGAACCAAACGAATATTGCTGATATTCACGAATCGGTACGATATTATTATGCCGATGCGCATCACATCGAGCAATATCGTGTATCGGCTGATATCGATATATAGATTTCGATTCACGAATCGGTACAATATGCCGATGCGCATGACATCGAGCAATATCGTGTATCAGCTGATATCGATATATAGATTTCGTGCGGGGCGATATCGAATTCAACGATATTGCTGCGATATATAGATATTGAATCTAGATACCATTTATATCACCCACTCCTAGTTAATATGCGGAATCATTTGATATCAGTATTTTTCTCATAAATACTGTCAAAAGAGCGTAGTTTAGTTTTTTTTTTTAGTTTGCCTATGTGTTGACTACTATTAACAAAATTAATAGGTACATAATTTTATCTTACTTTAATAGACACATAATGTAACTGGTAAAAAATAAAAAATAAATGTTCCAAAGATGATTAATATTAAAAATATCACATGTTAAACCTTTAAGACACTCTCCTGTAAAATTAGTAAGTTTTGAGATTATACAGTTAACGGTAGAGTCCTTTCGTTAACGGTAGAGGTAAGAAAGCGTCTTAATCAGTGCGGCGCTACTGTAGCAAGTGGTGTGGTATCAAAGATGGCGCCAAAAGTTACTACTGTCTATATTAAATTGTTCAATTCTGCATGCTTCGCTCCGTTAACGACTGCTACACTAATATCGCACCACTTTTATTTATTGCCTAGATGAGTGGACCTGGTGTTAAGTGATTACCGGAGCCCATAGACATCTATAAGGTAAATGTTGCCACCCACCTTGAGACATGAGTTATAAGGTTTCACTTTTAACAGTACGACTGCCCTACCTTTCAAACCGAAACTCATTACTGCTTCACGGCAGAAATAGGCGCGGAGGTGGTACCTACCTGCACGGATTTGCCACGCCGAGCACTTCGTTATACATAAGGGACGGTTGTACTCATATCTACCCTCCATAACTATAGGAAGTAGTTTGACATATTTTTGACACGCCCTAATTCCGGGGTTGGAAGCTCTCGATTTTCGCAGGACTAGTGTGTGTTTATATTGTACGTAGTCCATTGCGTGTGCAGTATACGCGGAGTTGGAGGCCACACGTCAGTTCGATAGAATGGACGAGCAGACCGATGAAAATGAGCATTCCATTGAAATGCACCTACCTTACATAGCCAAAGTCATGGAGGAGTAAGTGATGTGTTAATTTTAGTTTTATCATTTATTCTAATTTCTTTTATTGCCTTTGTAGGCAGACGAGCATGCGGTCGACCTGATGGGAATGGTCACCGTCGCCCATAGACGTTAGCAATGCCAGCGGCAGAGCCAAGCTGTTGCCTACAAGTTCGCCTGTCTAAATAGTGTTATAATAATAATTTAAGATTTTAACAAAATACTTTTTTTTTACATCAATGCATTCGAAGACAATTCATTATGTGTTATTAAATAGACAATTTAATAATTATTTATTGGTCGCATCTCGATAAAGTTTGAGAAACATCTAAATCGATGCACATAGAAATAAAATCTGAGATAACAAATAAACCCAAAAAAAATACAGGCGAATTGAGAACTCCCTCTTTTCTTTTTTTGAAGTCGGATTATTACGACTAATATTCGTCCAACTATCAAAATACTACCATAATGATTGACATCTTAAGATATAGATACATTTTAATGTAACACATTTTCTCTTTTATTCAGTATTGGCAAAAAAAATATAGTATATTTTTTTGAGGTGATAATGTCATATAAAGCGATGAACACCGGCTGCACGCACGAAAGAGTGTCACGTTCCGCCCGATCCTGAACGTGCGAGCGAGAGCGCGGAACAAACGATAGAGAGGAACGATCGGCCCAAGCATTAATTTTACTGAGATTATATTTCATCTCGTATCGTCTCACCTCATTTTATTTAATTTCATCCCAGTTGATTAATGTCTCAAATTAATCATCTTCATTTCATTTCCTTTCACTCCACATTACAATTTTTCATAAAAATAAGACGCGACTTAAAGGTCTTAACTACCAGGTCATAAAAACCCTTTAAAAAAAAACTGTTGAAAACATGGTAAATTGTATTCAAGATTCATTCGAAATCTCAACTTTCAGGTACAAAACCAGTTTCACGATTATACCGATTTTAGTAGGCTCCCTGACTCCAGAGAAGGAAGCCAAGTGAGTATGGTGTTGTGATAGCCATTTTAGTACTTAATATGTTCGACAAAATCCCTTAATCGCGCTAACGATATTTACAAAGTTCATATATATGCAAATAAATATGTATGTTTTCATTTTCTTCGTTTTTTATTGCTTAGATGGGTAGACAAAGCTCACAATCCACCTGGTGTTAAGTGGTTACCGGAGCCCATAGACACCTACAACGTAAATGCCGCCACCCACCTTGAGATATGAGTTCTAAGGTCTCAGTATAGTTACAACGACTGCCCCACCCTTCAAACCGAAACGCTTTCTGCTTCACGGCAGAAATAGGCAGGGCGGTGGTACCTATCCTACATACTTTAGGCATAGTTGTAATAAGGTCTATTTTACTTCTTTGTTAGTGTTTTTTTTATTGCATTGAATGGAGAAAGCTCACCACCGACCATGAAAGGCAGAATTTAAAGCTACTACCCCCCTTGAGACATGAGGCCGAAGTCTTAATGGAATATCGACTGTGAACCTTCAAAACAGCAGAAATTGGTCTGAGGTTCCACCAGCGGGTATGGAACTTGTAAAATGCCACGTACGCTCCTAAAAGGCCAGGAAAGGTCATGATCACTCTCAGCGGGTCGCCATTCCGATCCGATGGTAGAATCAGCGAAGCACTGCTCTTACTAGACTAGATGTCTACAAATCCTCCTATGCTGAGCCCCCGTGAGCTAGTCTACCAGTCAAAGTGAAGCCCGAATAACCCTTCGCTACCAGGAGCTCGGCAAATAAAAAATCTCTTACCCAAACCAAAACTGGTCAGGTACGGAGCGATACTGGCGCCATATCTGGCCGACCCTCAAAACCTGCTGGTGATCTCATCCGACTTCTGCCACTGGGGCAGCAGATTCAGGTACACGTGGAAGGATAGCTCCAGGGGCCACATTTACCAGAGCATCGAGTGGTTGGACAAACTGGTGAGAGGGCACAGCAAATAGCTACATATAATTAATCAATCTAATAATTCCTTTCTAAACTTTTTCATTATTTTTAATAAAACTATATGTTTCTGTCTATAACACAGAAACGATATTTAAAGTTATTTTATTATGAAAAAAAAAAGTATTTTAATACCATATAATTCACAACACTATAATTATCTTCATTAATTTTAGTGTAAAAATATTTCGACAAATCTTTAACAATTTCAGACCACTATTTCATTCAATCGACGTCATATATTTCTATTTTTAAAACCGTCTCTTTATTGCCAATATCAATGTTAATATCACATCACCTCCCAACTAGCGCATGATCGTCAAAATTTCAAATTAATGAAGGCATAATCATAATACATAATAATTATGAAATAAAATAAAAATCAGTTGAGACAACAAAACCAAGTAACATGAGTCGTATTTATTTCAGGGAATGGATTTAATCGAAAAAATGGATCCGAAGGCGTTTACGGATTATTTAAATAAGTATGGCAACACCATATGCGGTAGGCATCCGATCGGAGTGTTGCTACAGGTAAAAACTTAATTTTCTCATGGTAGAAATTGTTTGTTCATAAGATTTGAAATTTCCAAGCCAGAGCCAGATTTCGCGGTGGTAAAGAAAAACTTAAAAATCATTCTCTGTATCTTTCTTCCTTGCGAGCATAGATGTGGTAATTCTCAAAATGGATAATTCAAATAATCTGTAGTAAAAATTAAAATATGAAGTTCGCATATTTTTATCGCTTTCGTCCCGTCCGACTCTAAGTGGTCATTATCGCTGGTGGACATGTTTATTGGTGTTCTCAAGCCAGACTACTGAGTAACACATGTTTAGATATGTTTGCTTTTCGTGAGAAAGCTCTTAAAGTTTCCAACATAAACATGCCAATGGATATGAATGAAAAAAATTTGTTTTTAAATTGATCAGTACAGTCAGATGAAATTTGGTATTTTTTCTTTATTTTTAATTTGGGTAGGTACTACCTAAGAAATATTTTTTTTATTATTATTTTTGTGTTCCCAATAGCTCTATAACTATGAGTTGTTTCCAGATTATCCATTCTTTCTGGGACACCCTGTATATGTTTTGAACGTAATTTTCATAAACTTGCATAAGCCCGATCGACTTAATAATTCGCATCAAGGATTTATGACGTTGTAAGATTTCAGCCTTTTTTTTTAAAGGCTTTTTAATTGATCTTTTTTTTTCCAGGCCATTTCTAAACTAAGCTCCCAATCAAACGCGCCCAAGATGTCATTGAAGTTCTTGAAGTACGCTCAATCCTCGCAGTGTATGAATTCGAAAGACTCCTCCGTATCGTACGCCAGCGCGTCGCTGGTGTTCGAATAAGGGTTGCCAGCCTCGAAATAAATTTCCAACCTAAAGTTATTTTACTAAACACTACAATAGAGCTTAGCAGCGGTCTCCGAACTCCGATTTCCTTGTTAAACTTTCTATGACGCAGTAAATTAGCAGTCTGCAGTATCAATTGCCAATCTCCCTAAGATTCTCTTCTGTGCCACGTCACGACAAACAAACGAAGATCTAAAATTTTTGTTTTCATTATTTTCGAGACCGCACCTTCGGTCAACCGTCATGAATAATCTCTCGGTAAAGTCGTGGGAATGATTTTAGTGGCAGCTTTCAAAGAACTCAAATAGCCATGGCTATTTTAAAATGGCTTAGTTTAATTTCCACCATACTCATGCACTTTCGCAGGCGCTAAACGCCTAATAAGCCATCGTTTTTAAACCTGAAGAAACATTAAAATTAACAGAATGAAAACTATTAACTTCGCGTCCAGCCTTCTCGCCCGCGCTTCCATTCATAGAATACTTGAATTTACGCCGCGTCAAAAGCACCCCGCTTATGGTTTAAGTTTCGGAGGGGATAGCACTCCGTTCGGTTGGTAGAAACTTGGTTGTGATTCTATAAAAGGCTTACTTTGTCCTCTGCCTTATTTAGAGTGACAGGCGTCAAGTTTGACAGCTGTCAAATTTGTCCATATGTCAGTTCGAGACGCGAACACAAATAACACGTCATTGAAGTTGTACTTATCCGTTATTATGTAATTACCTTCACTGTCTAATGTTTTTGGATGGTTACTAAATTTATGATTCAGTCTATAAACGTTTTGTAAATTATATATAAAAATTATCTATATGAATGCGTCTCTCGGTATAAATATATATATGTCGATTGAATTTAAAATTGTTGGCCAAAAATCGTATTTTCTTTCGCGTTCCTTGATAGTCTGAAATTAAGGTACCTTTGTTTCTTCAATCCTGTGCTTTTTACCTCTACAACCCACAACGTGATTAAACTTTCTGCCAATTGTCAAGATAGAAGTAAACAAAGCTTAAAATAGATATTGTCTAAGCAATTTTGATTCGAGTTTCAGCCCTAAAGGCTAGCTATTATGACCGGCTTAACTACTTATGTTGAAGAACGTTTAAGATAAAGTTGCCAGCACTTTCCAAGAAATAACAATTTAAATGTAATTTTACCAGTTTTTTTATTGTCATTATATTATTTCGTGATTAAAACGTGATTATAAACAGTAAAAATAGTTCTAATTATACTTACGAATTGATCGTAAAACCGATGAAAATATACTTTTCAGAATTTGTTCTGTCAAAAAAAAGTTGGTTATAGAATCAAAATTGCTTCGATGTTTTGGAACGCACTTTTAAAATAGTAAAAAAATATCAATCTATAGATCTATGTACATTGATTAAGCATAAGTTTATGAATAGAGATGTATTTTAGTTTTTTTTCTTCTTTATTTCTTAATTTTATACTCGCACATTTTGTTTAAGTATTTCAATAAAATACATTTAATAGATGTTGTCTTTTTTTTCTATTGTTGAAACTATAGATGAGTCGTCTATTATCAAAGGTGGCAATCTGTGAATTTGGACAAGAAAATGTTATTGATATGTCAATACAGATTGATTTGAATATAATCGTCTCCTTCAAAGAATACGGTTCAAAAACTGGTTGGTTAATACTTAACCTGTTATTTATCTAAGATGTCGTTCAGAAGAGTTTTGTGACTGCCAATGGAATACAAAGTCAATAATTCGTTTTTCTGATTTACCAATAATTGTCCAAAAGTCACATTGCCGGCTTTGATAATAGTCGACTCAGATGCAAGAAAGAAAACATTACGATATTATAAATGGGCAGATAATAAATTCAATATTCTCTATTCTATAATAGTTACTTTAAAAAAAAAGCTTTTTTTTAAATGCTGGTGTTATTGGTTACCGGACCCATAAATGTCATATTAATATTGACACAAACCTTAAAGATATGGAGGGTAGAAGAAGTGCCATATTGTTTAAGGGATATCTTAAAAATCTGTAAACAGCGAGTCATTGTTGGAAGATTCTCCGAAATAGCGGTAGTATATAATAATATAGGATGCGTGAAAGTGATATGAATGTAGTAGTTTTCTAGAGGGAAGTCTGGTAGAAGAAGTAAAAGTGTGGTTCAGAAAGTATGAAAATATTTAATAATCTTCTTAACCAAATCGTCGGGGTATACGAAGCTTTCGCGATAAATATGAAGTATTAAGAAAAGGTTTTTATGGAGTAAAACACAAATCAGTAAAATATAGAAACTTTATTTAACTGTCAAATGAGGTTAGTACTAAAGTAATTGCATAAATAAACAGAAAATATATTAGAGATTTAAAATTTATTGACAAAATTTGTGACCAAATTTTTAAATTCTAGATAAATAATCATACTCAATTAAAATTATGTACACTGCTATTGGACCCACAATGGAACTGTCAAAATCATTCAATTCAAATGTCAATGTCAAAAACACTGTCACAAATTTTATTGACTCAAATACCTAACTATTGTGATATAGTATCTTGATTTATCTCTGAATATCTGATGAGATAAAAATGCATAGAACATTAATGTATTTTTCAATTTATTTAAATTCATAAAATTCAATAAATTTTAAACCTCCAACTTCAAAAACAATAGTCTAATGGAACGTACCTTTCAAATAATAATTTGTAACAACTTTTTTTTTTAAATATTAAACATTTTATTTCATTGCTAAACATATTTTTTTTCTGAAAGTTGTGTCGTTTTTGTTTTGTTTCGTATTCAATACATACATATAAAGTGATCTAAAATATTTCAAGTTACTATTTTCATTTTAAATTATTTGTATAAGAAAAATCTAATTCAGTACATACATCGACACAAATAATAAATCATGTTCTGTTATTATTGGCCGTTTTCCAATTACAGCACAAGAGCGCATTATGCGGCATAATGCTCAACTAAGCTTCAGCATAATTCGGCATTGTGCGTGACTGAGTCGCATTATGCTCTGTAATTAACCATTACTTAATGGTAGTTTTCCAATTGTAATTAACCATTACTTAATGGTAGTTTTCCAATTACAGAGCATAATGCGACTCAGTGACGCACAATGCCGAATTATGCTAAAGCTTAGTTGAGCATTATGCCGCATAATGCGCTCTTGTGCTGTAATTGGAAATCGGCCATTATGATTATATACTCCATAATTATGTTTGGGGAAAAAAAATTGATTTTAAAAACACTATTTTATTAAACAGTACGTTTGATGACCCATCAAAAGCAAATATTCAAATTTGAGTCATTCATGTGTAGCAGTAGTTCAGTTACTGAGCTAAACTAGAACCCACAATCAAATGAGAAATGAAAGCAGAAAATGACTTATCTTATTCAGTTGAGTGCGTAGAGTATTTAATTTTAACAGTTCCACTACACTGTGTATATTCTTCTAAATTGATTTTTATATATCCAATCTCATCATTAAAGACCTGAGGTTGGGAGTTTTACCAAAAAAATTATTCTCTGATGGGAGATCCCGTGACTTTTTATATATTGGTTTTTAGAATTGGTTCTTTATACTTCACTTCCCTTAGTTTGTTCCTCCTCTATTCCTCATGTTTGAGGGTCCTGACCATCTATCTCCTCCCGTTATCCTTCTCTGTATGATGTTTCACCAACTTTCTCTTTTTTTATACATCAATGTTTCAAATCAGGGATTCCCAAAGGAGTGGATATTGAGTGTTTAACGATACAGTAACTTAATTCAAGTTTTTAAATTGGTATTTTGTATTTAAAAGCACAAAAAAAATTAGAGATAGGATTTTTTAAATTATTTTAGCCATGGTGTTTTGGTGGACTTAAAGTTTGGTTTCTTGCCCAAAACGGTTTAAGGAATGGCTGGTTTTAAAAAAAATCAACCCAATAACACCATTATGGTGAATGAATATTTTTGAAAAATAAAATAATTCAATAGATTCTTGTGAATTTCACATTAATCACACAATTTATGAGTAATTAAATATTATTGTAATAGTAATTGTAAATATTTATTTACAAATACTATTTGATTAATTATATTTATTTATAATTACTAAAACTAATTAATTAATTAATTGAATTAATCAATTAATTTATTGAGTAAACATGATAATAGGGCTGTGTCTATCGAGAGACTACGAGACTAAATCTCGGTTGGATTGTATGAAGGCTGTCCCGACAGACAAACAAACCGACAAACAAAAAAAGTAATTACTAAAATTTAGAAATACTCACATATTATTTTTTATTTCTATAATTACGTATATATCAAATGTTTATATCGAGAGGTCAAAGGCAATTTGCATTATATTTTGCATAATATATGACATGTATCTTTATAATTAAAGGTGCCTTTTATTATTATTAAATTTTTTTTTTTATTGCTTAGATGGGTGGACGAGCTCACAGCCCACCTGGTGTTAAGTGGTTACTGGAGCCCATAGACATCTACAACGTAAATGCGCCACCCACCTTGAGATATCAGTTCTAAGGTCTCAGTATAGTTACAACGGCTACCCCACCCTTCAAACCGAAACGCATTACTGCTTCACGGCAGAAATAGGCAGNAGCCCACCTGGTGTTAAGTGGTTACTGGAGCCCATAGACATCTACAACGTAAATGCGCCACCCACCTTGAGATATCAGTTCTAAGGTCTCAGTATAGTTACAACGGCTACCCCACCCTTCAAACCGAAACGCATTACTGCTTCACGGCAGAAATAGGCAGGGCGGTGGTACCTACCCGTGCGGACTCACAATAGGTCCTTCCACCAGTATTAGCATCAACAGTTTGATATTTTTAATTGAACTTCAATTAAGTTTACTCCATTCGCATAGCTGAAGCTTTTTTTTTGTTATTATATATTTACCAAATGCTGATATACTTTGCAAATATACTTTAAATGGCTCTCTTGTGAAGTTACCAAAAATGTAGTTTACCCCAAACAGCTTATCACCCCTCGATACGATAGTTTTTGTAGTAAAGTCAAATTGTAATTATTGATAAGTGAGTTCCGATATCCACTTCATTAGTGGACATATATATTAATTGATTTAAGTGGGTCCAGGCTTCTCATTAAGCGAGCCGTGAGTGCCTTCAGCCATTTACACAATGAAAAACCATTCTATACCTGATTTATTGTATATAATAATCATAGAATGTATATAGCAACATCCTGTATATGTGTATTTATATACAAGTTACATATGCTCATTGAATATTTGCTTTTTTGTTCAATAATCAGCCATCAACGAATCCGTTACATTGGTCATATAGAAACAAGATAATAGTATATAATATTTTTACGTTTTTTTTTTTTTTTTACGTATTGATTGATAATTTTTCTTTTTTTTTTTTCTTTTAACTATTTTATTTTACATACTTATTTGTGTCAGCGCTTTAACATACCCACGTCGATTTTTTTATAAAAAAATTTTTTTTGAGAATCGTCCGAACAAACGAGCTCTCGGTTTGTCTGGCGTCACAAACAGCCAACAGGTCCAGAGCCCATGGACAGCAACGTTCATATCCATATCAACGTCGGTCTCCGCTAATGGGACAGGTCTCGGGGCGGTATCTCATTGTAGATTGTTTTGTTAACAGACTTTACCAAACGGGGTGGGGGGATCGGGGTAGGGGACCAGGGGGACCGAAGGATGGGACCAGGGAGGGGGGTCCTTCACACGGCGCTATGACTTGTCGTCGGACTCTCTGTAAACGAAAAAGACATTTAACATTTTAATAAATCGATAAATCAAACTTTACTGGCGAACCCCAAATTATAGTTAGTTCCAAGATTCACTTACCGCGCGCAATCACTCCGTCCTGTAACAATGAAACGCTAATTAGAATAAAACTTACAACGGGACATGGCAATAAAATAAAAAAAATCGTAGCGGTAACTTATAATAACTAATAAAAAAAAATTATTGCTTAGATGGGTGGACGAACTCACAGCCCACCTGGTGTTAAGCGATTACCGGAGCCCATAGACATCTACAGCGTAAATGACGCCACCCACCTTGAAATATGAGTTCTAATAATTAAGCTTTTTTTTTTAAACTTAGCATCCGGGTACTAATCTCACCCGGTTATCCGGCCTCCGACTAAGATACGTACTTCTATAAATATTAAACCCTCAAACAGCAAACTCATTTGTCGATAGCGTAAAAGTTAACTCAGATTTGTACGGAGTTGGAACGTTTACCTACGTTTGCCGCTAGGGGCGCTGTTCCAACTCCATACTTTTATTTTTCCTTAGATGGATGGACAAGCTCACAGCCCACCTGGTGTTAAGTGGTTGTCGGAGCCCATAGACATCTACAACGTAAATGCCGCGATCCACCTTGAGATATGAGTTCTAAGATCTCAGTATAGTTACAACGGCTGCCCCGCCCTTCAAACTGAAACGCATTACTACTTCACGGCAGAAATAGGCGGTGTGGTGGTACCTACCCGCGCGGACTCACAAGAGGTTAAAAAAAATCGGTTGTCTGTAAAGTCGGTTTACTGACGATAGTTGAACGTGACAACGTCATAAGAAAATACTGATGGAATAGTTTCATTTTTCAATTATCGCAATTATCGTTGCTATAAACAATTGACACCACATTCACTTTTCACTGAACTTCATACTTGACGAAAACATGTAAATCTATTATTGTATAGCAGCTGTCCACGCGGATGCATCGCTCACTCAAGTAGGAGAGAGACAGATGTCGAACGCTGCCGAACGCGGAGGCCGATTGTGCCTCTTTGTCGCTCGTTGCGCGCTCTCGCCTACACTTCAAGCCTTAAATGGAACGCCTCATAGCGAGGTAACGCCGCATGAGTCACGTTTTTTCGTGCGTACAGCCGGCTCCATCGAATTATAAAACGCTGTCACGTCAAAAACTCGCACTTAGCACATTAAATAGTCACCTGTCTCTGGAGTCTCGTCCTCTGTACCGTGAGGCTCTGCTGAGGGACCGTGGAGTCCGGATCGACTCCCATCTCCGCGTAGATCTCGCGCAGCATCAGCAGCATCGTGTCTTCGGACTCCCTGGGAAAGATATACTTAAACAGTTTTGAAGTCGTCGCGGCCTAAAGGATAAGACGTCCGGTGCATTCGTGTGTAGCGATGCACCGGTGCTCGAATCCCGCAGACGGGTACCAATCTTTCTAATGAAATACGTACTTCGCAAATGTTCACGATTGACTTCCAAGGTTAAGGAATAACGTAGCGTGTAATAAAAATCAAAACTCGCAAAATTATAATTTGCGTAATTACTGGTGGTAGGACCTCCTGTGAGGACCATTTTATTAAGATTATACTTCATCCCATATCATCTCATCTCATTACATTTCGTTTTCATGCCATGTTTCATAATAATCAACTTCATTTCATTTAATATCATCTTTCATATAAAAAACAAAATGTGTGCAATTCACACGTGGTAGAAGTGAAACCTTCCAAAATTAAAATACAATTATTCTAAACGTCTTAAGTATATGTAAAATTTTGTCATTAGTAAATAATTGTAAGGTAGCGCCCTCTGTGAATTGATATTTTAATTTCACGTATAATCCTAAATTAAAATTCACTACAATAGCTTTCATACACACGTTAGTATTAAAAAATCTCACAGATGGCGCTGTATTAAATAGTATGTATATTTCTGTCTCATTCTTTGCTGGCTTCATCCTACACATTTTTGTATTTGTGTCTCTTACCTGTCGTTTTTTCCGTTGCATCCGGTTTGAAATCACAACGATTCTAAAGAAGTTTTCACTTCAAAAANATTAAAATTCACTACAATAGCTTTCATACACACGTTAGTATTAAAAAATCTCACAGATGGCGCTGTATTAAATAGTATGTATATTTCTGTCTCATTCTTTGCTGGCTTCATCCTACACATTTTTGTATTTGTGTCTCTTACCTGTCGTTTTTTCCGTTGCATCCGGTTTGAAATCACAACGATTCTAAAGAAGTTTTCACTTCAAAAAGTTATTATTAAAATTAAAATAACACTTGACCTAAAAGTCTTTGTTACCAAGTCATAAAATCCCCTAAAAAAAAAAGAATTTATTTACTTATCTACAAATAAAAAATAAAAAATATTTTAAAAATTATTACAAATTACTACAAAATCACTAACTACCCATAAATAGACCCATTTAATAGTTTTCACTAGATCGATAGCTTTTGAGCTAAGCATTACATACAATATTCAATTTACAACTCTATGCCTATTACTTTAAGAGTTATTGGACAAAATTTATTATAGTCGAGCTCGTATTGAGGCTCATTCGACCTCATGTCTCACACTAATATTTCTTATAGTAATGCACTAGATCACAGCTCATATTGAGGCTCATTCGACCTCATGTCTCACACTAATATTTCTTATAGTAATGCACTAGATCACAGCTCATATTGAGGCTCATTCGACCTCATGTCTCACACTAATATTCCTTATAGCAATGCATTAGATCACAGCTCATATTGAGGCTCATTCGACCTCATGTCTCACACTAATATTCCTTATAGTAATGCACTAGATCACAGCTCATATTGAGGCTCATTCGACCTCATGCCTCACACTAATATTCCTTATAGTCGTGCACTAGACTAGTGCTCACGCTGACGCCCATGCTGACCCTCACCAGTATCCGACGTGGCTGGTCATGGCGAACAGGTACTCGTTGATGACCTCGAGCGGCGCCTCCTGTAGCACGTAGTCGATCCGGCGACCCTCGTTCAGCTTGCCGAGCATCTCGCGCGTCGCCTGACAACGAAATCATCATCATCATCATCATCAGATCATCACCGGTGGGCAGCGACCTGGTCCATGGTCGACGGTAACCACTCACCATCAGGTGGGCCGTGTGCTCGTCTGCCTATATAGCAATAAAAAAAAATGTGTGAACGAGCTCACAGCCCACCTGATGTTAAGCGGTTACTGGAGACCATAGACATCCACAAAGTAAATGCGCCACCCACCATGAGATATAAGTTTTAAGGCCTCGGTATAGTTACAACGGCTGCCCCGCCCTTCAAACCGAAACGCATTACTGCTTCGGCAGAAATAGGCAGGGTGGTGGTACCTACCCGCGCGGACTCACAAGAGGTCCAGAGGTTAATGAGAGGTCAATATTTAAATGAGGATTGTTGCTTTTAGATGTGTGTGTGTTTGTGCGCGCGTGTGTGTGTATAAAAAACAGATTTCAACTCACATTGCTTGAACCGTCTTCCCTTTCATCAAACAATTGATCTTTTTCAATTTCTTCGACTACCTGCAAATGGAATTAAAAAAAAACATATTATAAAAAAATACATTTTAAATAAACTTGACACATACAAACAAATTAATACAACACATCGTTACGTATTGTTACGCCTTGTTAGTAACACCTAGAACACTCGAGAAGTACAACGCCATCTATTTTCAGATAGCGGAAACACAATACTCGAGATGTAAGGAATGTTCTCGATAATTCTAGGGGTGTCGTATGGACTATAAAAGGGTTGCAGAGATGGCACGAAGTAAGTCAGTAATCGGAACTACTCGAAGCGAAACACCGAACGGATCACCTGAAGCGAAGCGGAAGAAGTGAATTGAGAATATATAAAGTGTTTGTGACTGTTATAATTGAATTTAATTGAAAATTGAATTGAATTAAAAAAAAAGATAGAAAATAAATAAAATAAAAATAAATAAATAAAATAAAATTAAATTCAAATAAATTTGAATTAAAAATAATGTAAGAAAAAATGATTTTATTGTAAAAAAAGCGTGAGGTGCATGATATCAGTAGTTATAAATATTTTATGAAGAGATATTAGTAGAAGGATTATTTTGATAATATCCTGAAAAGCACCCTCCACGCTTTTTCAATTTTTTAGTTGGATTTTCTATAAAAGCGTATTTTTTTTTGTTTTTTTTTTAAACTATTATCTATTATCTACCTTCTCCAATTGTTCCTCGGTCGATTGAGGTTTCCATTTGTTCCACGTTGTCTTCAGCGAATCAATGAATTTCTGCTTCAGATCAGCCCCGACGCGGGCCATGGTGTCTTTCAGTTCTAGCAAAAAAATAATACTGTTATATATTTATATTTTATTCTATATTTCCTGGGATGTAAGGCCATTTTGGTTTAAGCAATATTTTTGCAACTTAATAGATAAACAAACATTAGATAAGGAATTGACAAACAATATTGAATCTATTCTCAATTTGACCACAGACTATAAGCAATAAGAATAGTTTGACAATAAACAAATAGGATGCATGCGTGTGTGTGTCAAATACATGGTAATGTGCGTAAGTTTTTTTTTAATTGATTTAATGTATTATTTATGCATTATTTAAAATAATATTAACATTGTGCACTCCTTCTCTATGTTCTCTATAAGTGTGGAAAAGGACAATGCCCAAAAGTGGGCCAACTTCATGACAAAACTATTTGTACTTGAAAAACTATGCCTTATTTTTTCATGTTGTTTAGTTTATGTATCAACATTTCTTTCTCCCTGGCATTGTTTTACAAAAAAATAAATTACTTATTTGATAACATCCCAAAACTGAGTGCCATAGTTTTTAAATTCGCCAATAGACAAAGGGAAAATTAGCCCATACAGCCTTATAGTAAACTTATATGCTGAAACGAAAGAGTTGTCTGTGACTTGAACAACAAATTAAAAAAAATGCTAATGGTTATAATTCACAGACTTTTTAGTTTATTGTTGTTCAATTCAATATTTATGTATTGTAATAATAATTATTACTTAAAACCATGAATTATTTAATATTTTTAGATATTAATGATTCCATTAGTAAAAATCTCAATGGCCTACCATTACTCTATTCTTATCATATATGATCAGAGTTTTGGCAGCAACCCGAGTGAAGCGTCACTTGAAGTTTTATTTTATGTTTTTTTAATAGCTTATTGTGATGTATAATATACAAATTGGGTGTTGTTTTGTGTATTAAATGTCAATAATCGTTGTTCACGATTATTGAGGCATTGGAATAAAACTGTGGCTAACATAGCAGTGACTTTTTTTTTTTCAAGATAAAAGGTTGCGGGAATTCTCGCTCACTCAATGTGCTATTCATCAAGTTGACGTCAAAACTCCCAAAAAGCAATAAAAATACACCGGATTTTTATTAACATAAAAAATATAACTATGACAGACTAGGCTGTATAGGCTACGCTCTTTGCCTGCTTGTTGGCGAATTTAAAAGCAACAACAACAATATCGTTGCCGGCTTGCGGATTTCATTTCATTTTATTATTATTATGAGGATATAATAATAATAAAATGTACGTAAGGGCTTATTTCTAGCAACATTAACCACAATTAACTTATTTAATACTGTAAATAATGATGAGAGCGATTATTGATTTCGAAGAAAACAATTAACAACTTAATTTTAGCTGCAGAAAAAAACAGATTTCTCTTAAACCTGGGTGAGAATNTATTATGAGGATATAATAATAATAAAATGTACGTAAGGGCTTATTTCTAGCAACATTAACCACAATTAACTTATTTAATACTGTAAATAATGATGAGAGCGATTATTGATTTCGAAGAAAACAATTAACAACTTAATTTTAGCTGCAGAAAAAAACAGATTTCTCTTAAACCTGGGTGAGAATATAAAAATCGTTTTCTGAATATTAAAGGATATTTCTTTGTCTATCAAATTAAGTTAAAATCATCATCACCCGACAACTTTTTTTAGGGGCCCAAACGCCCATAGAAAATGGGCATTGTCCTTTAATGCTCCTCCGTCCGCGCAATTTTCTTAAAAATGGGTACAAAGTTTTTGCTTCACATACATCTAACACACACACACATATATAAATTACAATTTACGTAGGAAGCGCGTTACTTCCCTTCGCAATTTAATATCCTACTCTAATAATTTAGGGCACTGCTTTACAAAATCCTTCCACTTGCTACAGTGGCGCCACCTTAATTGGCTCCCGTTTACACACGAACCACCATTTACCAGCGAACACTTTAATAAACTGAGCTGGTGCTCCTGACTTCTACCCTGTCTATAAATTTAACACGCTAATATAAAACTCTAGTAATGTACATAGCCGTCAAACGATGGCAGCACATGTACTTAATACTAGCGCCCTCTAGTGAGCGCGCACTCAAAACGTAATAGGTACAAATTTAACATGGTTATTGACAGAGTCAAGGCCGGCGCTCCCATGACAGTGCTGCGTCATAGACAGGGCCGCCTCTGTACGATTTCAATGGTAACACTTCAATGGTAACAGTTTTGAATGGTACACCATTACTCACCCAGGTGCATCCTCTTCCTTCCCTTGTGGTGCGGTATCTGCTCCGGTTTCACGTTCTTCAGTCCGGGATTTATCAGCGGCTCGATTCTGTAAACAATATATACGTATAGTGTTTTTGAAGTGAAACTTCTTACGGGAGGGTAAGACGCTTCGTTACGTAACGCGTTACGGCGCCAGTCTGTCTGGCTTCCCTTTCTCTCACACGTACGACAGCGGTACTAAGAACATGTGGAACTCTTAACTATTTATATATCTTTTTAAATTTATGTTACAATTTTCTTTTAGATTATCATATTAATATACATAACATTTAAATAACAATCTAAGCTTTTCTCGAGTTAAACAATTTCAATATTAAATAATTCAACTTAGATTAGTTTAAGTTATCATTTCTGTTGTTTTTTTTTTTCTCTTTTAAATTGTTTTGTGATAAAACCTAATCACCTACAATAGACTCAAAATAGTTTCTTGTAATATTTATCTCTCCGTTATTTATTATATCCATGCACGCGATTCGCTTAGACGGGCCACTCGAAGCCCGTGGTCCGATGTAACGCAATGCGTACGTCACTTTGAGATATGAGGTCAAAACCTCAACGGTAGTACTGCAGAACAACTGACCCTTTGGGATCAGAAACGAGCGAAACGATACGTGGGTAATTAACAAAAAAAAAAAAAATGGTTCGCGTGAAAGAAGTGAAACTTCTATTGTGTGCGGCGTGTAGTATTGTGGTCTTCTTCGTTTTTCGTCCTTAAATTAAATTTTTCTTGTAATAGCGAATGTTGAATATGAGAGAAACGACCTGTTCACCATTTATAGATATGACGGATTAGACTAGTTCCACGGTGTTCATAAAATGATGACGTCATAGTGATATATTCCATAGTGATAGTAATTAATACTCATTTTTCCAATGATTTCCATTTATTACATTTGAAGGACCTCTTGTGATTACTGGTGGTAGGACCTCTTGTGAGTCCGCGCGGGTGGGTACCACCACCCCGCCTATTTCTGCCGTGAAGCAGTAATGCGTTTCGGTTTGAAGGGTGGGGCAGCCGTTGTAACTATACTGAGACCTTACAACTTATATCTCATGGTGGGTAGCGCATTTACGTCGTAAATGTCTATGGGCTCCAGTAACCACTTAGCACCAGGTGGGCTGTGAGCTCGTCCACTCATCTAGCAATAAAAAATAAAAAAAAAACATCTCTAGTGTACGGTGATAGCAACAGAGAGCTCCGCCTCGGTCTGAATGTGTTGTGCGACAATAGTCACTCGTGTCTATGGTAGAAGTGGGGGTAGTTTAGTCATGAATTCTCTTGAATATCGTCTTAAACAGATGTTTACATGCGTAACATTAAGGAAACAGTTAACTTTAACTATTTTTAGTTAACTAAATGGTGGAATTGCGCCGATATATATTTTAAATTATATATATATATAGATATTTTTTTAAATCCTTTATGAACAATAAAATATAAGATAATAAATATGTTACTGCCATCTACAGAAGCAATGAGAAATTAATAACAAGCCATCTAGCGGCTGACGCCCGTAAACACAAGATGTATAAGAGAAACGACCTATCTCACTTTCTCCCTCTCACCGCAGTCGAGTGGTTCGCGAGACGCTCTGTCTATTCTCTCACTCTGACTCTTCCCAAATTGTATCTTTTCTCTCTAGCCGTAACGACTCTATCGCGACTTAAGCACCTAAAGAAAATTCACTTCACAAAATTGTGGGTAGTTTTTTATCTTAAAATCTCACCTGTACGCTATCGGATCGTAAGGGTGGAATATATTGAAGAATTTTCGACACGTCGGCAATGCGAAGTCCAGGCCGAGCGACTCGACGCCGCGGATGCATTCGAAAATGGCTGTAATGTGAACACGATAAAGTCTAGATTCGAATACTGCTATTTTCCGAATGACGTCTATGAACGGTTCTGAGAGGCGAGTGCCTCAGTCTCGCGGCCGACTTTGCTGATGTCCGTGAGCTTCGATTTTTTTTTATTGCCCTTGTAGGCAGACGAGCATACGGCCCACTTGATGGTGAGTGGTTACCGTCGCCCATGGACTTCAGCAATGCCAGGGGCAGAGCCAAGCCGCTGCCTACCGAAGCTTATTGTTTCGATGGGTGGACGAGCTTACAGCCCACCTGGTGTTAAGCGGTTACTGGAGCCCATAGACATCTACAACGTAAATGCGCCACCCACCTTGAGATACAAGTTCTAAGGTCTCAAGTATAGTTACAACGGCTGCCCCACCCTTCAAACCGAATCACTGCTTCACGGCAGAAATAGGCAGGGCGGTGGTACCTACCCGCGCGGACTCACAAGAGGTCCTACCACCAGTAGAGTTCTATGAAGAAGACAAGAGCAGACAGTCGTCGCCATCCTACCCACTTCTACAGCATGACATTCTTGCAGTCCTCTTCGGATCCTCTTGAAGGTAGATGAGCACACGGACCCTTTTATGTTGAGTGGTTGGCGTCACTTAAGGACATCAACAATGCCAAGAGCACATCAAAGCCACTGCTCATTCTGATGTCTATGGACAACAATTGACCGGCACCGGGCCAGTCGCGACGTCTGCCCAGCCCCTGCCAAGCTAAAAAAAGGATTGTGTGGTTTTATGAAACCACGGTAAAACTGAAACTTTTTTTCACATTATAGACACTTCAACTCTGACAAACAACATTGACATTAAACACTGACAAAAACAAAATAAAAATAGCGTGGAGCACGGGCACAAATGTGTAATAGTCTATACACTACACGGTCGGCTGCTGCGAACTATAGGCGCCGCCATATTGGCCTTGGCTGCTCTGACGAGCGTTTTTCACTTTATCCCTACTCCGCGGCCGACCGTCACGCGACATGCAACACGCAGACGAAAATGTTTGAGACAATGTAAAAAAAGTTTCACTTTAAAACAGTAAAGTAATGAGGTCAGTACCTATAGGGCTTCCCAGGGCGTACAGTGCGGTCGGCTCAAAGTCCAGATTGGGATACTTCACGGAAGACTGTCCCGTGCCCGCGCTGCCCACCACGAAAACCTTCTCCGTCGACCTGGACACCTAGACGAAAATTCGCGAGCGCGCAATGAACACGTAAATTACGTGTCATTTAACTTTTGCGTTCCATTGCGTGCTAAATTTTTTTTTAAATCCTACCTAAGCTGATAGCCTTGAGAGGCTATTTCAGCGTAACCTTAACTAGTAGGTGAGCTCACGGGGCTCGAACCTGAGCGATGCTAACAGTGGCCCTAGCAAGAGCAGTGCTTCGCAGAATCTACCACCGGATCGGAAACGCGACCCGCTGAGAAGATCCGGCGAGAAACTCAGTGGGATGTGTCTATGGGTTAATTCGCTGGTCGAGCCCTTCATCGCACGGAGTAATTACGCAAATTATAATTTTGCGGGTATAATTTTTATTACACGTTATGTTACTCCTTCACACCGTGGAAGTCAATCGTGAACATTTGTTAAGTACGTATTTCACTAGGAAAATTGGTACCCGCCTGCGGGATTCGAACACCGCTGCATCGCTACACACGAATGCACCGGACGTCTTATCCTTTAGGCCACGACGACTTCTCAATCTATGACGTGTATTGACGTGGTACCCACTTCACAGCGCGAGAGCCGTCAGCTCGATCACGCTTGTGTGCGACACGCAACGTACCTTGGCCGTTTGGTGGCACAGCAGATCGTAGAGTATGACGCTGCCCAGAGAATGTCCCCCCAACGAGACCCCCCCTCTGAATTCAGGATTCCGCTTAAGGAACATTCCGTATATCCTGTTCAACTCCTTGCAGACAGTGTCGATGATTGTCTGTAATCCAAGAATAGCTTAATTACACATCGATTCATTACACATGAAATTTTTTCGGAAGAAATTCCTTATGGGACGATGCGGATGGGTACCCTAACCGGGAAAAATCGTCCGTAACGTAAGATTTTATGTTTGTTACCTCATAACTTTTGACTAGGTGAATCGATTTTGATGATTCTTTTTTTATTAGAAAGCTGACGCCAGCTTCAATAAATCAGTAGTTGAGATGTCAGCTCACTTGCACACAGCGATAGAAAGATACTGTACTCCGACTGAGATTTCTGACGCTCCGTAGCTGCCCACGGTCCCCATCACGTGATCATACCTGACAGTACACCGGGCTGGTGTAGAACAGGACGTCCAGCACGGTGTCGTTGGTGAAGGATCTCAGCTTCGGTATGCTATCCAGGGTGACTTGAGCGAGACGCTTGTCCACGCCGGTCTCGCCCGAGTGGAGACTGGCGTGCCAAGATATTGGGAGGACCTGGAAACGAGGACCTTAGTCAACAATGATCGAAGGATTGCTGGTGGAACGGAGACCTTTCCAGTTTCACCAGGACAGGTGGGCGAGCAAAGGCTCAGCCAAGAGGGGTGGGATTTGCTAACAGCTGCCCGAGCGCCTCCGAAGGAAACCTAACAACTCAAGAGTAGCTGCTTCACGAATGAATGTACTACCGGATCGGAATCGCGACCCGCTGAGACGATCCGGCGAGAAACTCAGCGAGCTGATGCATGGGTTAGGTTGCACGTCAAACTCTTTGTCGAGTTCGACAAGTAAGGCTACCGTAGTCCCTAAGTCTGCTCCTAGTGTTAGAGCTGAAGGCATCTAAGGCAAAGGTTATTGGATCTGATGATCCGTAAGGACGTGTCTAGGGAAACAATGATCTGAACACAACCTGGGAATTAATATGGTAAAATCGTCATTTTGAAATGGCGACCTTCGAGTGGTGATGTCCACTAACCCCACTCTAATACATTCGTCAGTTCAAATTGCTTTTCAACTTAAGACCAAATAGGCCCAGCGTAAGGTCCTTATTACGGAACCTGGGTATTGATATGGTAAAATCGACGTCATTTTGAAATGGCGACCTTCGAGTGGTGATGTCCACTAACCCCACTCCAATACATTAGTCAATACATTACCTCGATCCTGCTGACTGCACCATTGTCGAACGAGTTCCTGTAGTGGGACTGGACCAGCTGAAGGCTGGTGGCTCTGAAGTCATCCACTGTTTGAATACAAGCATCAGATCATTACGGTGGAACATTTATACCCAAAAAAGTATGCCGAAGTACTCTTTGATTACTTATGCGGGGTATTTCACAGGTTCCAGTTCGTTTTTTTTTTTTATGGCTTAGATGGGTGGAAGAGTTCACAGCCCACCTGGTGTTAAGTGGTTACTGGGGCCCATAGACATTTACAATGCAAATGCGCCACCCACCTTGAGATATAAGTTCTAAGGTCTCACAGTTACAAGGGCTGGCCCACCCTTCAAACCGAAACGCATTACTGTTTCGCGGCAGTACCTACTCATGCGGACTCACAAGAGGTCCTACCATCAGTATGCACCACGCTGCATCAGAATTAGGGCATATTAAAGTCATCTTTCTTATCTTAGCCACTTTTGCCTTTGACAAGACTACGCTTCCAATACATGAGGCGGGGCATACAATCCCTTCAAACTGGTGGTACTTGTTCATGTGTGATCACGACATTCTTGTTCAAGACCAGAAGGCACTATGCCAATCTAACGACTTTGACCTCTTAGGACGTTGTGGCATTTACTATTTAGCACATGTCTCTTTTGTGGCAATCGATCTAAACCAAGTATCCCATGATATATCTGTTTTTCCTTCGATAATTATACTATTATACCTCCCTAAGCACCAGACCACGTCTGGCCGCACAGGATCCTTCACCAAACCAGACTCTAGAGCGGTGAATGTCGCTCGAACTCACCCACTTCCTCGACGGACCTGAACCGCATGTCGCATGCCGAACCCACGCCGTGACACAGCAGCAGCAAGTGGTCGATGCTCGATGGCTCCGTGTCCTCGATCTCGGACTCGTCGGACCCTCGACGTACCACGCGGGGTATCGCAGCTGATTGCTGTCAGGAAGTACATTGTGATGCCAACAGAAGGTCGAGACTGTACTGGTTTCTCTTCCTTCTCTCGAAGCCATTGATGAAGAGAGATGTGCCAGTTGTAATTGCGACTTCTGGTCTCGACCGATATTGGTATTAAAGCTCTGATGTCTGTGGGCTCAAGCTAACCATCTAAGGAATTGCAGCCACAAACTCCTTCCAAAAACAGCCTCATAACTAAACTGTAACTTTTCAAAAAAGCTTTCTAGAAGTTCTCGAGGAATATGTTGAAAGTCTTCGATGAGGATCGAAAGAACGATCTTTTCAAGGACCAATTAAAATGCATCCCCCCCCTCGAACCAGTGTGCTTAGTGGGATTTTTTTAACTTCTCGATCGCGTAAAAGTTAACTAAAATTTGTATGGACGTTTGTCTACGTTTCCGCTAGGGGCGCTGTTCCAACTGCATACAAATTTTAGTTAACTTTTACGCTATCGAGAACGTTATTAAGCTCGCACTAAACACATGCAATATTGAATTCTGAGATTCTGCGAATACTTTAAACGGATTGACACATTTAGTTCTATATCATGTCTTCCTTGCGTAGTCGACTGCATTAATGGATGCATTTCTCAGCTGCTACATACGAGAATGGTCGAATTATAAATACTCTTTTCGGTTTAACTTTAACATCATAATCTTGAAGACACGTTATTTCATTGACAAAAAATGGCCCCTAAATTTCGCGAGTTGCCGCTTCTAGAATCCAAAAATAACCTTCTTCCTTTGGCAGCCGTGCTCTCCGATACCGTGCACCAAGAACAGTAAGTGGTCGACTCTCTTCGGTTCGCTCGGGGGTAGTTTAATCTTTGGAGGATTCCTGTACACTCGTTTCCCGAAAGAGAATAGCTGGGAAGTTGAACGGGATTAGGATGGGAAGGGATTAGGGGTATTCGAGGTCCGAGTGTATGGGGTGTAGGCAACGGCTTGGCTCTACCTCTGGCGTTGCTGAAGTCAATGGGCAACGGTAACCACCTACCATCAGGAGGGTCGTATGCTCATCTGCCTCCAAGGGCAATAAAAAAAAGCTTGAGACTATGGATCTTCGATAGTAACCAGACTAAAATCCCCTATCCATATTGAGACTTCAGGTTGTTGTAACAGCTAACCCGACCTTGCTTCGCGAAGTTATCGCGAATCAAGGTCGGGTTACGCGATAACTTCGTGATAACTAGGCAGAATTGCCACGTGTTTTCCATGCGTGCTAGATCAAACGCACGGTCAGAGCAATTGGGATATTGACGTAACGGCATAGTTAATAAACACACGGCACCGTATCCTTTCGTGTTCGGTGGGGGCTCAGCATCAGATGAGCCTAAGTGCCCAAAAAAAAGATCTCTTTATGACATTTATTTCTATATTTATTCCAAGCATAAAGCAACAAAAAATATCGGAGCTTGAAAAAAGTTACCGGCTCAGTAATGTCTGATAATATCGACCCAGTGCAAGTAGACAAAGAACCCAAGTAGCCTTATCTCAATTTTGCTGTTTCCACTGCTTGTATTATGTATAACATTTGTTCTTATATATCCTTTAAAATATCCGAGTTCAGAGTGAGACCCTATACATTCACAGCTAATCAAAGATCAGGAAAGATTTTTACAAAAACTTGCATGTTTTAAAAGGAGAAATGAGGATGCCGTTCGAGGACATAGCTAATAAAAACTGCACGGAACATTCAAAGAGTACGGTCTCCCAAGGTTCGGAGTCTGGTTTCCTATAGTCGACTTACCGGCGGAGCGCTGAAGCCGTCAGTCGAGCCGCTGTGCAGGAAATGAACCATCACGGACGGACCGTGCATCACCACCATCTCGTTGTTGGGCAGAAGCAGTTTCCTGTGCCACTCGCCCGTCGTCACGGCGTGGAGGTACTCGTTCTTGGGGAAAGATTTTATTTATTTATTCCATAGACTAATCAACGAACTGACAACCTGAGAGATTTTTAAGTCGTGACCGGAGCGTGTAAACAGCAAAGCCATCGCACGCCTTCAGACATGAGGTTGCCCTGTCCTTGTGAAACTGGAAAGGCCACCAGTAAGCCCTCAATCATAATAAAAACATGAGGTCGTAAGTCACAACTGTGGTAGAACTAGGGCGCAATGTGATCCAAATGTGTTGAACTCACAAGACATCGTACCACCAAAGTAATTACGCAAATTAGAATAAAAGTCAGTTTCACTTTTATTAAAAAAAAACCTACATTACCTAAATGCTGGAAGTTATTCGTGAACATCTGTGTTAAGTACGTATTTCATTAGAGAAATTAGTACCCGCCTGCGGGATTCAAACACCGGCACTGTCACATTGCTCGATACGAATGCACCGGTCGTCTTATTATTTAAGCCACTGCAATTATGAATTTGAGTAAATTCCCATTTGAATTAAACTGTGGTTCAACTCGGGAATAAGACGGACTTTGAAAGTCAGAGAGACTAGACTGGCATCAGTGGGGAGACAATAGTCCACGTATTCCTTTTCGGGTCGGAGGTCGAACCCCCACTGAGGTTTCGGTGCCTAAGATGCTTGCGGGGTACTCAGGACTTTTTTTTATTTTTATTGCTTAGATGAGTGGACGAGCTCACAGCCCACCTGGTGTCAAATGGTTACTGGAGCCCATAGACATCTACAACGTAAATTTGCCACACACCTTGAGATATAAGTTCTAAGGTCTCAGTATAGTTGCAACGGCTGCCCCACCTTTCAAAACGAAACGCATTACTGCTTTACGGCAGAAATAGGCAGGGTGGTGGTACCTCGGTGCCGGTCACGTTTCACTGCCAATTTGAGCACCACTAACTTCACGGTCGACGCTTGTCAAAGAAAATAGCTGTGCTCACCTCAAGTCTCTCGGCCACCGCTTCCGAGTAGGGCACGTATCTCGCGTCGGTTGTGCCCTTGTAGAACCAGCTACATCTGAGATATTAGAGCACCGTCATTATCACATTGGCTAGACGTGACACTTAACGAGAGGACCGAGCGAATACGGATGCTGGGCAGAACAAACCCTTGAGATTTACGAGAAATGAGAAAAAGTCGCAGTTATAATCTGACGGTATTGTTAAGATTCACTATACAAAAACCTTACGGTACTTTTCTCCGATTTGGAGATCTCTGTTAAGACGCGATGGCATCCTTTTATCTGAGCCGCAAACTCATGGTCTCAGGGTTATAAACATATCATGAAGGTTACATGCTCGTGGCTAATGCCAGTCGATACCGCAATGCCGATGACTCCTGTCTCGAGACATTTGTTCAAAAGTCATCTATGTCTTTGTAGGGAAATAATATGTTCTCGGTTACTACCGAGCATACTACTACAGCTACTACTACAGTACTACTCTACACAGTCGCTGTCACATCTCGATGTAACGTTTGTGGTCAGCGATGTCTATGGTAATTAACTCCTAACAGAGTCAAGTTTCGAACTTCATCAAGTCTAACAGATCACTCGTGCGATCTTATACTGAAATACCAATATACCTTAAGATGAGAATGATACCTTAAGACATTAGTAGGCTTGTCGCTCCAGTAGACGGCTGTCCTCAGTCTCCCCACCACGTTCACGTCATACCTTCCTCCATCAGTTGCCACCAGCGTCTTCTCGTTGAGATCGGCTGGAATAGTTTACGGTTTTGAGAATCTTTTGCAAGATCCTGAGATGCCTCAACGTAGCCCGAAGACATCGAGAGGAAGTCACTTAGATCGTACCATAAGCCTCAAAGATCCTATGAACTAGGCATTATTAACACGTAGCAATTAATCATTATCTGAAGTCACATAATCAATGGTGTCTTGTAATGGATGAATTATCAAAATCGATTTTACAAGTTGAATTGGGATAGCGGTTCTCCTACTCTAGGTTCCGGAGTGACAGCGATCATCAAAAGACCTCGTCAGCTCCTAAACTTATCGCATCCCTTTGAAATTCTTTAAAGCATTGGCGAACTGTACGGATACAATACAGTCTAGCGTTCCAATCTAAAGAACAGAACAATGGTCACGTAACCTCATTGAGACATCGACCTCATTGTTCTTTGGATTGCCACGTATACACCTGAAAAACTAGCTTAACCAAACAGACACTAAGCAATTTCAACGACCAACGTTAGATCTCAATTCGTCTCGAACTTACGGCTTAGATAAGCTTCCTCGAGAGCTTTCGAATCGACTTCCGAGAAGCCCCTCCATATGGATTTGCCTTCGATGTCGACTCTATAGAACCAGTGGTACTTCACAGGATTGTATTCGGCCAGAGAGCGGTTCTGAAACACACAGGGCATTGCTAAAACCACTAACACTGCTTTTGGTCACTGTGGCAGATTGGAAGGATCGGCTGGATGACGCTTTAAGGTTGCTGTGGGTCCAGAAAATTTTAAAGGAACTGACAATGTCCCACTGTGGGTTGTAGAAGTCCAAGACCATCCGCGTCAATACCAACAATTTCCATGACGCGAATGTGCTCCGTTGCAATATGTTTTTTACTTTCATATCCTATACGGATATACGACTTGCGGCCAACCTCCTGTAGTGGAAGTAATGGGAGCCTATGGACTTCACCAATTGTCTCACAACCTCTAACACATGCTGTCTAAATTTTAGATGTATTGTGTTTCGATTTTCGGCAGAAATAGGCAGGGCGGTGGTAGCTACCCGTGCGGATTCACAAGATGCCCTAAATAGAAGTATGTTACTAATACTATATATCGAGGGGTGAAAGGCTATTTAGTTTAACCGACGTCAGCAATTTCAGGGGCAGAGCCGAGCTGTTACCCACCGTTAAGTACTCTCCACAAGCCTCGTTTGAAGAACGATATGTCATATATCTATATATTAATACGTGAAGCAAAAACTTTGTATCCCTTTTTACGAAAATTACGCTGACGGACGAGTATGAAATTTTTCACACTTATAGAGAATATAGAGAAGAAGTGCACAATGCTAATATTTTTTTAAATAATGCATAAAAGATAGATTAAATCAATAAAGAAAACATTACACACACTATATACCATGTATTTGACGCACACACGCATGTATACTATTTATTGTCAAACTTTGGTTCTTGACGTCTGTGGTCAAATTGAGAATAGATTAAATATTGTTTTTCTTTATTAATATTTTTTTATATAGTAGCCTTGGCGAAATTTGTGATTATAGAAATATAAAATACAATCATAATAGTGTACAAACTTACAATTCCAATTAATTATAGTCGAATTTCGACTACTGCGGGACCTCTAGTCTTACTAATATTATAAACGCGAAAGTTTCAATTCTAAGGTTAAATTGCATACATGGATGGACCGTCTCACGGCCCACCTGATGTTAAGTGGTTACCGAAGCCCATAGACATCTAAAACGTAAATACCGCCATCTACCTTGAGACATAAGTTCTAAGGTCTCAGTTTTTACAGTACAACGGCTGCCCCACCCTTCAAACCGAAACGCATTACTGCTTCGCGGCAGAAATTGGTAAGGTGGTGGTACCTACCTGTACGAACTCACAAGACGTCCTACCACCAGTTATGACGCAAATGATAATTATGCGAGTTTGATTTTTATTACACGTTATCTTATTCCTTCACCGTAGAAGTCAATCGTGAACATTTGATAAGTACGTATATCATTAAAAAATTTGGTTGGTACCTGTCTGCGGGATTCGAACACTGGTGCAACGCCGGACATGATTGCACCGGACGCCTTATCCTTTAGGCCACGATGACTTCATATGTATGAATGTTTGTATGGATGTATGTTTGTTTGTTACTCTTTCACGCAAAAACTACTGAATGGATTTTGATAAAACTTTACAATAATAAGTCAAGTAAGTAGGAAAAAAATCTGTCTTCTTATTTTCATAATTAATAATAAATTACAGTTCCCGAAGCGAAGCGAAGGCGGGTCGCTCGTAATTAATATACAGTATTCCCCCCTATAACGCGTTTTCATATTACGCGTTTTCATATTACGCGATTTCAATCCCCCGTATAACGCGGGCATTCACCTCTACAACGCGGGGATTTCCCACATACATATTTCCGTACTGTGAAATTTATAATACAGTTGTAATGTACAGTTCATAATTAGTTTCGCGTACCTTTGCACGCGTGTCAACTGTGTTATTACAAAATTAAACTATTTCATTAAATTTGTGTGGTTAAAGGCGTAGGTTAAATTTATTTTTATATTTTTTATTTAAAATTAATAAAAATATACCATTTAAAGTTAAACGAGATGAATCATTCATACGTAACGCGTTATACGAGGTCGTAAAATCGCGTTATACGGGTATACAACTATAACGCGTAACCAATGCACCGCGTTATAGGGGGGTATATTACTGTATTATGCTTAATAAAACTTCCTACCTCACTGAGAACGGTAACTGCATCATCGGTGACTCCGTCGGTTGCTCCTTCAAGGTTTATGGTCACGTTTTTATTGACTGCATTAACACGTTCCATGCTGACATCACAGCCTTTACTACCGGCCGCGTTATTATTATCGTTAGCGGTCGCCTTAACTTTATAACTAACTTCGTTTATATTAAAAACGTTCGTATTGAAATCGCAACAGTATTCACAGATTTTAACGTCTCGATAGAACGCCGCGTTGTTGTCATCCGCTCTCTCGGAATGGTTAGGTTCGATTTTACTCGAATCCGGATCGCGTCTAGGGCGGCTTATATTAGGATCGTCGTATTCAATCGTGAAATAATTTACGGTTCTGACTATCTGTTCGTTTGGTATGTAACGCGTCGACGTCAAATCTTTTATCAGATCGAATGTGGCTTTCTGTTTTTCCGAGTCCGTTACGTTATTATCGAAGCGATGATTTTGGTACGCGAAACGAGAAGAGTCTCCGGGACCGTCATTAGCGTGTCTGTAATGATTTTGACTTTGGCTCAATTCAAAAAAAGACTTCGACGGATCACTGGCGGGCGGCGAAGCAAAATAACTAGCTAATCTATTAAACGTTCCCGGTTCGGCTCTAGAAACTTCTGGTGACGAAAAGAAATTCATGGGATCCGGTAACGGTTTTGTTTCGGGGATCTTTAGCTCGGATATCATAATATCACCAAGCCTATTCGCGGCATGCTTGACTGCGTCTATCTCTTCAGCGTTCTGACCGGCAAACGTTGTGATACAATCTGATTTTTCATTCGGTTCTCGCGCAGTCAACACCTCTTCAACTATTCCCGCTATGCTGGCTTCTATTTTGTAATTAAGATCTGGGGACACTTCCCTGTGGGCGGTGTAAGTACTCGTGCAAATTACAGATGTCTGTGTGGTCGTGTCAGGTATCAGAGGAACGGAATCCTTCAATTTATCGAGGGTTGCTTTATCGTGAAGAGTTCCGCTCATCCGTCTATGGTACTCCTCCTCGAAACCCGGTGGGATCCTCATACTGGTTGAGACCGGATAACCGGCGCTGGGCGGTGAGCCAAACGAATTCCGGTAGTGCGTTTCGGCTGCGTAATTCCCCGTATCGAAATACGAGGCTATTGTGATTGCTGGACTTGTCTTCGGTGGTAAAGTAAAAAGTGAAGTTCTGTCAAAAATATCATCATGATCGACTGTCTCCTCTAGTTTTTTAAATTTGTCAATTCTGTTCGTGAACGTGTCAGATTCCTTCGCATCTTGATTCATCTCCTTCTTTCCAAACTCGGTTTTGTTTTCGTCAGTTTCCGATGGTTCTATTAAAAAGTCTTCGTAGATGGGGAAATCTTTATTAGCGTCTTGTTCTATGGAGTGGACGTCTAAGCCACCTGTTCCTTCTGATGTACTATCTTCTTCCGCTGGTGGAGCGGTTGGTATTTCAGGACAACGCGGCCCCTGATTTTCTTTTGTATTCTCAAATTCAGTCTTTAAATCTTCACTTACGCTAGGCACTTTGTCAAAGAACAAAGAATTGTTTCCAAAGAATCCTATTGAGTTTGGATCTAGTTTGAAGGTATAGTCATGGTCTTCAGGTTGCTGTGCAGAAAATTCAGTTTTATCCGTCCATCCGAATTCTCTTGGACCCTTCTCTTCATTTTCAGTAACTGAATGAATAGGAATCGTGCCGGTAGTTTCCGCAGCAATTTGTGTTTTTTCAGCACCCTGTACATTGCCTTCTCTGTTATCTGTCGCATTTGTCTCAACAAGTGACACTTCCACAGCATTCGAAAGTTGTATAGGCGATGTCAAATTCCCAATTAATTGATTGGTCAAGTTATCTATTTCATTTTCTTTGCCTGGCTTCTTCACTTCCCTACAAGTCACGCACATGTTGAGGTCCGATCTACTTTCACTGTCGTCCCTTGTATTCTTTTGGGGGGGCGCGAAGTTTTCGAATAAGCTCATATTGTTCGCGTTCAATATCTCGGTTTTTGGCAGCTCGAAAATTATTTTCTTTGACTCGCTGCCTGCCTCTTTCGGCTTATCAGCGATAATAGTCGACAGACCGAATAATGGAACAGTAGAAACTCCTACTATAGGTATCTGATCGGCCGACAACGATTCAACCAGATTAGTTTCTCTTAAAGGAATTATTTCCTCTTCTTTTTCTAAATCATCAAATGGATCATCTATTAATTTATCGATCGGTTTGATTAATGAATCGAAATCGAATTGTTCGTCATCGTTGAGAGCATCTTTAATAACTTTTTGAGATTCGGTCGTATTTTGACTTGTTTTGAATCCAATGGGAGCCGGTTCAAGATTACCTTCGACCGGACTTCTGAATATAGAAGCCGCCACAGGTAAATCTTCATTCACTTTAAATAATGGCTCCAATTTGGTCGGAAAAGTACCTTGCAAGAGTTTCTCTGCTACTGAATCTGTAGAAGCAATTGGATTAAATAATTGACTCGGTTGTGGTATGTCGAAGAAATCTTTAACTGCTAAAATTGGATACATTTTATCAATATCAGCAGTTTTAACGTTATCATTTTTCTGTAGTGCAGTTCTCGTGAGCTCTTCTATCCGACTCGGAATTTCTTTATTGTAATGACCCAACTGTGGAACATTATACGTTGGTAAATTTTGCAGTTGTTCCGTTTTTAGTTCACTATTCTTTATGGCGATTTCTGTATTTTGATTTATGTCAAAATTCTCTTTAGACGGAACTAAGGCAGGAAATTTAATATTTGAATCAGTAATTATCGAATGTGGAGTTGTATGGGCCGTTTCCGTTGTGATATTAAAACCGGGTGTATGATAGGTTGATGTATTGCTAATGTTTTCGTTTAAATTTGACCCCGGATAGAGCATGGTAGACGAATAAATCATTTGAGCCTGTTGCTGGTAATTTTGACCTTCGCTCTGGTAATAACTGTAGGGGTTCTGGTGATACTGGCTCGGCTGTTCGTAAGCGTGCATATCGTGCGGATTCCGGGATGTAGCATCGATGTTTGGAACGAATATCTCAAAATTACTCCCTTGATTCTGAGCGTAGTGATTAGCGAATGTATTTTGATCTTGAAACGTCTGTGAAGTTTCCTCTTCGATTTTACCCTCATTATTATAAGCGGGATCGAAGAATGTTGTAACCTTACTTTGAATTTTATTTATATCAATCGAATTGAGTTTCGATTTCAAGGATCCGATTATACCGAAACCGGAGGATTCTTTTGTCGGTTCATAAACTTCATTAGTCTGTCGGCTTAGATCAAAGCTTGTATTGAACTCTGGCCGATCACTCGATTGCTGTGGATGACTTATGTCAAAAGGTGCAGGGTTCGCTGGAGTATTAATATCAAAAGGCTGTTGTGCTAATGTTAAATGAGGATCAGCTGGATGAGTAGGAGTGAAAAGAGCACCTTGAAAAATATTAGCGTCCACCGGAGCTATAACAGGCTTAATATTATTACTGATCGCTCCAATACCTTCAACGGGACCGGAATAATACTGCGGTCTTTTCTTGTTGAGTCTAAAATTAACATTTCCTATTGCTTTAGGTGGCTCTGGTGGCGTTTGCAATGAGTCGGTTGGTACATTGGCTGTTTGCTGGTTCAAGAATAATGGAATACTCGTTGAAGGAACAAATGCGCTTGCGTTATGAACTGCGGAATCCATTGAAGTTTGGTCAATGTTCGTTGGATCAAAATGTATCTCGGATTTTTTTATCACATGTTGGCCTGTAGACATTGGATTTGCACTCGGAATCGTCGTAGGAAGTATGTGCATTGTTACTGAGCTTATTAAATCTGGCTGTAGAGATAAATTGGTGGTCGTTGGTTGATTTATTGTATCATCACAAACAATTCCTTCTATAGGCGTATTTACTATGGATGAAGAAAGTTCCTTAATGCTTGATTCTGGTACTACTGAAGACGCTATGGTAGAAGTAGAAGTTAGCGAAGAAAACAAAGGTACGCTACTTCTTGAATCTTCACTTCCGAACATCGAAACGGGTACAATAGCCGAACCACACTGAAGACCTGTAGGCGTTTCGCTAAATTCTGGCGTCGTCGACGTAACCATTGGATCCAACAGCTTTAAATGAGTTTGGTCAAAAGTTTGCCCGTCATCCTGGAGCGTTGGAACGAATATGTTGGTGATGGTCGATGGTGTTATCGCTTGTGGTTTGATTATTGGATGGTTGGACGATATTCGCCTAGCTACCGAGGGAGGTAATACCGATTTACATATCGACGTGTCCTTTTTGACATTGGTGAACATTGGCGGTGGCGGTATGACAGGCGTCGAAGCCGATTGCACGGGAAACTCTGGTCCCGCGATATCAGCACTAGCTACACGTTCATTCGGACCTAAATCTCCGTAAGTTAGAACAACGTCATCTTTAACATCAAAAGCGTTCACTGAAGCACAAACATTTGGTTCTCTATTCACGTCTACTTCGGGAATTTGATGGGTCACAGAAGTGTCGGGTGTGAAATATTGTATTCGGCCTGTGGACGGTTCTGGGTAAGGTTTCTCGGTTGCGGTCGGGCCTAGGGGAACACTAGACGTTTGAGGTCGATGCGGGGGCATAGCCAAGTGCGCGGCACTATCCACACCGGTCGTCAAACCCGGTATTTGAGCATATTTTTTCTTTGTCGCTATCCTGTAGCTTCCTATACCTGAAACAAAATATAAAAAAATACAAATATAGTACCATTTAGCGGGTAGCTAGCACAGAACACAACATATTTGATACACGCCTAAATCTTGCTAGCGATATTTTCAATATAGGCTTACATATATCGAGGGGTGAATGGCTATTTGGTTTAAGCGACATCTTTGCAACTATACAGGAGAGCCATTTAAAGTTTAAAATTTGGAAAAAATACCATAACAACAAAAGTTCTTCAGCTATTTTTGAATGTGGTGAATAAAAGTTTAATTAAAAACATCGAAACGCGTTACTGCTTTACGGCAGAAATAGGCAGGGCGGTGGTACCTACCCGCGCGGATTCACAAGACGTCCTACCACCATTGATTACGCAAATTATAATTTTACGGATTTGATTTTTATTACACGATGTTATTCTTTCACCGTGGAATTAATCGTGAACATTTGTTTAAGTACGCATTTCATTACAAAAATTGCTACTCGCCTGCAAGATTCGAACACCGTTGCATCGCTACATACGAACGCACCGGACATCGTATCCTTTAGGCCACGTCGACTTATCACCAGATAAGTATTAAACATATCCAATACTATGGTATAATCATTAAAATACGCAAGTCCGCACAAGACTTATTGAACTCTCATTTCAATTGCATAACGATGTATCATCACCAGCATCCGGACACGAGAACGTGCGACCTCACGTTTGAGGTCAATGGAAAATTATCGTTGGCTATCTGCGTAGGGCTTTATTGATTTATCGATGTAAGCACACACGTTTGCTTAAAGCCGTCTATCCAGTTCCGAGCGACGGACGCCGATGTTGTTATATATATTATATTATACTAACTGTGCCCGCCACTCCGTCCGCGTGGGATTTAATAAAACATTAATTTATTTGAAAATAATTTCAGATTATTTTTCTAAGATATAAGCAGCTTAAGTTACTCCTTATTACATCAGCTATCTGCCAGTGAAAGTTCCGTCAAAATCGGTCCAGCCGTTCCAGAGATTAACCGGAACAAACAGACAGACAGACAGACAAAAATTGTAAAATAATTTTATTTTGGTATTTAAAATTTTTGTTTGTCTGTCTGTCGGTCTGTTTGTTCTGGCTAATTTCTGGAATGGCTAGATCCGATTTTGACGAGACTATTACTGATAGGTAGCTGATAATTGAATAATTTAGGCTACTTTTTTTTACTGGTGGTAGGACCTCTTGTGAGTCCGCGCGGGTGGGTACCACCACCCTGCCTATTTCTGCCGTGAAGCCGTAATGCGTTTCGGTTTGACGGGTGGGGCAGCCGTTGTAACTTACTTGAGACCTTAGAACTTATATCTCAAGGTGGGTGGCGCATTTACGTTGTGGATGTCTATGGGCTCCAGTAACCACTTAACACCAGGTGGGCTGTGAGCTCGTCCACCCATCTTTTTTTTATTTTTTTTATTGCCTTTGTAGGCAGACGGGCATACGGCCCACCTGATGGTGAGTGGTTACCGTCGCCCATGGACTTCAGCAATGCCAGGGGCAGAGCCAAGCCGCTGCCTACCGATGCAATAAAAAATAAATAAAAAAAGACTACCTTGGCCCCGCGGCGTCTCCCGCGGGTAACATCGCGTGACTCAGCTATCATCAATAATAAAATTTAGCGTTTCCGAAGCGAAACGAGGACGGCTCGCTATTTTTAATATTAATTTTAAAAGAAATTAAGAGCATTAAATGTTGTTTTGTTATTATATACCTAACAGAAAACGCAATTAAGTCTTTTATTGTTTATTCATTCTGAAATATACCATGTCATTATAATCCTCCTATAATACGGTAGATGGGTCGTTTTCAATTTTGCGACCAAAAAAGTAGCGATTTCTTGAGTTTAAACTTTCTGTAATTTTCCATTTTTTTGTATTTAGACGTGCTCTGAATAAAAAATGCTTCATCAAAATCAAGTCAATGACTCATTTATTGATAATATTAATGTATATAATTAATTATTAATAAAAAACTTCAGAGGTGTCAAGGGACACCCCCGGATGGAACGAAGTTCCTTTCGATTAATTAGTGAAGGAATTGTAATTTTTTTTTTAACTTATAATAATAAATTACGGCATTATGAAGAAGAAAAAAACAATACTATGAACTAAATTACTATTGTTGAAAGGCTATCTCGAGAAACTGTACTCATTACGCGGACCAATCGGATACGAGCAATGTCACGCGATAAGCGCCTATATACGTTGATTGGTCAGAATGACGGATCTAAAAAGTGTCGTGACAACTTTTCGTAAGAATTTTTTCCGTCTAGCCCCCTTTCACAACGCGCGATAAGGAACTTCGTTCCAATATAAATTAATTATATATTAATTATTAATTAATTAAATAATATTCATTTATATTTTTCATTTTACGCACTTGATAACGCCAACACGGATGATAATTTAAATAGGAACTTTTTTAAAACGCTTTGAAATACGTACTTCTTTCGTTTTTAATAATATTTTAATATACAATTAGTTTTCCTTTATTATTGTATCATACTGATTAAATAAAATTGTCGAATTTCAACACGCATTACTGGAAAAATAGCAAACAAGTTAGAATTTGAATTTCGGACCAGTGATACGAATGAGATTTGGTGGTAGTTTTTAATGTATAACTCCTAATTTAACAGTGTTTTTTAATTGCCCTTGTAGGCAGACGAGCCTACGGCCCACCTGATTGTGAGTGGTCACCGTCGCCCATGGACTTCAGCAATGCTAGGGGCAGAGCCAAGCCGCTGCCTACCGCTGTTTACGAATATATAGTTATAGGACCACGTGCCTGTTGTCATGACAACAAAATAATTACGGTAACATTAAGGTTATGAGAATTAAATCAAATAACTCGCTTTTGGGCCCAAATTTGAAAATGACTCTGATACATTCCTACAAGTCTTGTGTTGTGCAAAACCGCCTTATATGAGACCAGAAGCCAGTACAAAAATGAGAGTATTTTTTCTGAATCAAACATCTCAACTGTGCCTTTATATGTTTTTCCCCTATTATACATAAAAAATAAGCAAAAAAAATTCGGTTATTCCCACATATTGTGAGTTCATAGTGCATAATGTAATTTCCCTTAATATAATTCGATACAAAAAGTTCGTTATCATTAAGCACTGCTCTTGCTAGGGCCAGTGTTATTAGCAACGTCAGAGAATCGCGTTTCAGATCCGGTGGTAGATTCAGCGAAGCACTACTCTTGCTAGGGCCAGTGTTAGCAACGTTAGAGGGTCGTGTTTCAGATCCGGTGGAAAAAATTGCGAAACATTACTCTAGCTAGGGCTAGTGTTAGCAACGTCATCAAGTTAGAACCCGTGAGCTCACCTACTCGCCCGGTTAAGCTGACACAACCCCTCAAGGTTACCAGGATAGATAGGAAACAATTAATATATAGAAAGCCACTTCAAGTTATTAATTTTCCTGTTCGTATCTAACCAAGATTACGTTGAGTGATTCCCCTACACACACCACAAAAGCAAATCATTGAATGCAAAATACAATATTCCTTTATGAATTCTACGCACGCGTAGCGATGATACAGTTGACGGTCAATTGATAGTTGATTATTATGGGTTTTATCTAATATAGCGACCCGCCCTCGCTACGCTTCGGAAACATTAAAACACACTTGAAACAAAAAAAAAAGTTTAAAAAAAGTAGCCTATGTTCATCAGGGACAATATCGGCTTCTAATGGAAAAAGAATTTTTCAAATCGGTCCAGTAGTTCCGGAGCCTATTTGAAACAAATAAACAAACAAATCTTTCCTCTTTATAATATTAGTATAGATATAAAATTATCGTGTCACGGTGTGCGTGGTTGAACTCCTCCGAAACGGCTCGACAGATTTTCGTGAATCTTAGCGTGCATATCGGCCAGAGTGGAGAATCGGATAACATCTATTTTTCATCCCCCTAAATGTCAAGGGTGGTTCACCCCTAAATTTAATTTTTTAATTTTTAGACAATTTTTTTCGTTTTTATTTTTTTATGATACGGCATACAAAAAAATGCAGGCCCGGAAAACTTCGTAGTGCCTCAATCGATAAATAAAAGACCTAAGCTTTTGTATAAAATAAACTTAAAACAAACAAAAGGAATCCGTCCGACAGAGGACACATCAAAGGAAAAACAAAATAGTTATTTCTATTTGATTCCGAGCATTTTCATATTTATTTAAATTTATTTCTTTTCTGGACTTCCACAAATAATTCAAGACCAAAATTAACCAAACCGGTCCAGCCGTTCTCGAGTTTTAACGAGACTAACGAACAGCAATTCATTTTTATATATATAGAGTAGATAAGTCAAAATCACTTACCGCCAATCGGTGGCTCCTTGGGTGGGGGCGCGACGTTCTTGGCATCCTCCACACCCCTAAGACTGGGGGCCGTCGTTTCCGCCTCGCGCACCACCGGTGCCCCCCAACTGGGCTTCAAGTTCTCGGGCGTCTGCTCCCTGCTGCCCTTCAGATTCAGCATACTGGAGAACGAGCTAAAAACGGCGCTCGCCACGTGCGGCAAGACGTTCGGCAGCTGCGACAGATTCTGCGCAAGATCTGAAGTCAGACTCTGCTGCGAATCCTGCGGTTTATCCGGCTCGTTTAAATTTATCTCCTCCAGGTTCTCCTCGGCGGTTCCTATGGCGGCGTTTCCGTCTCTGGGTATGCCGTCGATGTGGAGGGGGGCGCTGATGTATTTGGTGCCTTGTAGCCTAGCAAAGTATACGCTGACGTCGAACTCGTCGTCGGCTTTCGAAGCTGCCGCGCTCAGGGCGTCTTGATCCGTCCGGTTCTCGTGCAGCGTCGCGTATTCTACCAGCCGCTGCTTATTCGTGTCCCCCGATGATATGTCTTCGTGATCATGTCTGGTGCTGCGAGTTTCGGACGCTTTTCGTTCTGGAAGACCAAAAAAAGAAGAGTTAGGTCTTGCTGGGGTCTAGTATATTCGACGCTCTTCTTTATCATTGCTTAGATGGGTGGACGAGCTCACAACCCACCTGGTGTTAAGCGGTTACTGGAGCCCATAGACATCTACAACGTAAATGCGCCACCCACCTTGAGATATAAGTTCTAAGGTCTCAAGTATAGTTACAACGGCTGCCCCACCCTTCAAACCGAAACGCATTACTGCTTCACGGCAGAAATAGGCACGGCAAATAGGCGATAGGAACTTTTGCTAGCGCCAGTGTGAGCAACACAGCCGGTTTGAGCTCCATGAGCTCACCTAATAGTTCGGTGAATTTAGAATAACCCCTCGAGGTTTTTTTTTTTATTGCCTTTGTAAACAGACTAGAAGTACGGCCCACCTGATGGTAAGTGGTTACCGTCGCCCATGGACTTCAGCAATACCAGGAGCAGAGCCAAGCCGCTGCCTACCGCAAAAATAGAATAGATAGGGAAGAAAAAAAATAGACTTTCAATTTGTATTGCTGTGACGGTTTTATTCATCCCGAGCTCCAGGGCGTAGCAATAACAAACAAAGTACATTTTCTAAGCGCATTAGTACGTGAATGCGACTGCAATACTAAATTAGCAACTTCAACGTAATAATTATATTATTTACGTTCAGAACGTTTAAAACCAGTTAGCTAGTTCTCTGCTCGGGGCATAAATGCAAATCTCTTGAGAACCTCATGTATATTATTATTCCACTATTAAGCTGCTTTCGGACTATGCTATTCTATAGTGACATATAGTATAGCATAGTAAGTAAGCCGTATAGTAAGCCAATGCATTTTGTTACGTGCTGGGATTCGGGATAAATAAAATTCCACCAAAGTACAACTAAAAACTGTATTCAACACTTAGAAAACACTTAAAGCACTTCGAACCGAAACGCATTACTGCTTCACGGCAGAAATAGGCGACGGACGCTTACCCTGGATAAGATTCAGTGCCCAGTATTCTCAACGATGTCTAAAGCGCCACGATTAAAATCGATGGATAAACAACCGCAACCTCTTAACGACCTTAAGGGAACCATCTATTGTATTCCCGAAAATACCGCACAAATTACGGAATACTCGACCGAACGCACCTTCATTGTGTGACGTCATTTGTGGCCAACGAAACGACAGCTACAACATATTCCTTAATGATGAGCTTTACTAATACTACTATCTGGCTTTCGATTGGTTTACAGCAAAACCCACGGCCACCGTCCAAGAGTTACGACGAACGAACTAACCCACAGACACAGCCCACTGAGTTTCTCGCCGGATCTTCTCAGTGGGTCGTGATTCCGATCGAGTAGTAGATTCTGCTAAGCACTGCTCTTGCTAGAGCTAGTGTTAGCAAATTCTCTTAGGTTGAGCCCGTGAGCTCACCTACCCATCACTGGAATAGCCCCTAGGCTACCGGCGAATAGGTAGGTTAAGCAAAGTTAAGCAATATCCAATGATTCTATCATCTCGTTTTTATCATCGCACCGCCCGCCACCGGAGTAGAGTTCATCCATACTACCTGGAGCCAATGTGGTCATCCAGAATGTGCTTTCAGAGATCTTTTTTGTCGCATACCATCCGGCTATGGAATGAGCTCCCCTCCACGGTGTTCCCCGAGCGCTATGACATATCCTTCTTCAAACGAGGCTTGTGGAGAGTACTTAACGGTAGGCAGCGGCTTGGCTCTGTCCCTGGCATTGTTGAAGTCCGTGGGCGACGGTAACCACTCACCATCAGGTGGGCCGTATGCTAACAAGGGCATTAAAAAAAACATTATCGTAATTGTAATGTAACTAGAATAATTATTTACATTGAACTTTGGCGCAAAACAGCGGTGTTGTTTTTAAGTACCAAATTGCCTAATCTAATGGTACGAACCATACGAACAAACAGAATGTCCACACCAACAACCGTGTATTTCGGTATGACACAACACATCGCAAACCACAGTCCATAGTTAAGACGGTAAAGCAAGTTGGTCAAGTGCGAATCCGTTCTGTTAAAATTTTCAATTTCTTCAGGTATCCTCAACGCGAAGTCGTCGTGGCCTAAAGGATAAGACGTCCGGTGCATTCGTATGTAGCGATGCACCGGTGTTCGAATCCCGCAGGCGGATACCAATTTTTCTAATGAAATACGTACTTAAAAATGTTCACGATCGAATTCCACGGTGAAGGAATAACATCGTGTAATAAAAACCAAACCCGCAAAAATTATAATTTGCGTAATTACTGGCCCTCTTGCGAGTCCGCACTGGTAGGTACCACCACCCTGCCTACTTCTGCCGTGAAGCAGTAATGCGTTTTGGTTTCAAGGGTGGGGGTAGCCGTTGTAACTACACTGAGAACTTAGAACTTATATCTCAAGGTTGGTGGCGCATTTACTTCGTAGATGTCTATGGGCTCCAGTAGCCACTTCACACCAGATGGGCTGTGAGCTCGTCTAGCCATATAAACAATAAAAAAAAATAAAAAATCGATCTTTATTATATACAACAACAACGGAACGTAATATCTGCAACATATTCCGACTGTGGCTTCCAAACGAGGTTATTACAAGTCGAACTTGACTAAGATCAAAGTCGACGACTTCGCGGAGATCAAATAAATACGAGACATCTACTCGCGGAGCGTGGATTCTCTTTTTATTAAATCAGCTGCAAAATCTCTGCACACCATTTGTGACCCAATATGAAAGGCTATAGACATTATGACGACATTTATAATAATTCCAATAGGGTTATCGGTACACCTTATGAAACATTCGTTATCCAGCTGGGCTGGGGGCATTTTTGTTTATTGCTTCGATGGGTGGACGAGCTCACAGCCCACCTGGTGTTAAGTGGTTACCGGAGCCCATAGACATCTACAACGTAAATGCGCCACCCACCTTGAGATAGTCGTGTTTTTAAATTACTGGTGGTAGGACCTCTTGTGAGTCCGTGCGGGTAGGTACCACCACCCTGCCTATTTCTGCCGTGAAGCAGTAATGCGTTTCGGTTTGAAGGGTGGGGCAGCCGTTGTAACTATACGTGAGACCTTAGAACTTATATCTCAAGGCTGGTGGCGCATTTACGTTGTCGATATCTATGGGCTCCAGTAACCACTTAACACCAGGTGGGCTGTGAGCTCGTCCACGCATCTAAGGTCTCAAGTATAGTTACAGCTGGAGTCATCTGCCTACAAGGGTAATAAATAAACATATCTTGACTTTAATTTTTCATTTTATTTATTTCCCTACCTATTCCCTGGTAGCCTATGGGGCTATTGCAGCTACGCTCGGACGTGTAGGAGAGCTCACGGGCTCAACCTGAGAGATTTTGCTAACACTAGTCCTAACAAGAGCAGTGCTTCACAGAATCTACCACCGGATCGGAATCGCGACTCACTGAGAAGATCCGGCGAGAAACTCAGTGGGCTGTGTCTGTGGATCAATTCGCTCGTCTAGCTCTACGATTTTTCATTTCACACAGAACGACAAACAGAGTATCTTGAGGTCTGATAGTTTGTTACATTTCGATTTTTATCTTCACGATAAAATGATCACCGCTCCGCCATTTCTAACCCACAATTAATTGTATATTTATTTCTTTTTTTTAGAGCCACCAACCATTAAACATTATTCGATCGCAATCTTTAGTCTATAGTCGCTGTCATAAAACTAACCGACTATGAAAAAAAAAAAAACGAAGTTGTCAATAACCTGACGTCATTTCTTAAAAATTCTTGAATTATTCATTCAAGCACGTTATACATATTACAAGATAAACTATACAAAAAAAAAAAAAGTCAAGTCAAAACTTCTCACTCATTGCGTGCGTCGCGTCGCTTCCAAAATCAATTCCGTGATGGTTTTTTTTTTTGTTGTTTTTAATTTTGACAACATCCGATAATGTAATAGATACGCGATCAAAAAGAAAGACAAAAACTTATCGAACCACGCACGAGCGAGCCAAATGGAAATAACACTTCATTAGAGACCCGTAGTACTAGTGGACGGGTTTATCCAGAATGACATAATCAATGTTGTTCAATAAATTTTCGTATGAGACAATATTTTTGAAGTGAAAACTTTCCTAGAACCGTTATGATTCGAAAGTCGATGAAACGAAAAAGCGACAGTAAAAAGAGACAGACACATACAAATTCATAAGATTTAAGGTGGGAGAGAACGAGATAACAAGCATTATACAGTGTTTCTTATATTCGTAGTTCTCATTGTGCTCTGCTTCGTACCTAATATTCGTGCTTAATACATTCTGATTTAAATTGTATATTATATGAATAAAATAATTATCAAACTTTTTATCACTATGATTATTAGCAAAACCTACAATAATTATCCTCTTCCCGAAATTTTACGTGTGTCTCATTATCTTGAGGTCAAAATTTTTGAAGGTTTCACTTCTATCACGTGTCAATTGCACATATGTTTTATTTTTATTTTCCTAAATATTTTTAAAGGTAATTGACTCAAAGTACTTTATAACATTACGACGACAAAAGGTGTTATTCGACGACTGTTGAATATCAAACTGAAGTCAAAATTACTGTCAAAATGACTAAAAAAAAGTGTGCGTCTCGGGAAACCCAACAGAAGTGATAACTTAAACTAATCTAAGTTGAATTGTTTAATGTTGAAATTGTTTAACTTGAGAAAAAGCTTAGGTTATTACTTAAATTTTATGTATATTAATGTTACGCCGGTAAGAGTAACGCCATCTATCGCCAAATAGTCGAACGAATATCGAAGGATCTAGTAGCATCTAGAACGCTCGAGAAGTACAACGTCATCTATTGTCAGATAGCGGAAACACAATGCTAGATTTTTGTGGAATATTCTCGACGATTCTAGGTATTTCGAATCGACTATAAAAGCGTTGGAGAGACGGCACGCAGTCAGTTAGTAATCGGAACTACTCGAAACGAAACATTGAACGGATCACCGGAAGCG